GGCATCATCATCCATCCATCCATCTTCTCCCGCTTATCCGTGGTCGGGTCGCGGGGGTAGCAGTTCCAGCAGAGAGCCCTTTCTTTTCCCTGGCCACATCAACCAGCTCTGACTGGGGGCATGGCATCATTAACTTGATAAATATTTTTCTTCTATTAAAAACTGCACCGGTGGAATTAGGTGCTTGTGACTGGGGTCCCCAAGCAGCCCAATTCTTTGGTATACTTCTCTGGGAATAAAAAAAAACACCAAGTACAGAAACCAAAAACGGGTGTAAAGTAATCAGAAACAGATTGAGTGCCAAATTAATGAAAACATGTAATAATAGAGAGGAGCTTGTGTACAATATGTCCAGTTGTATTCAGGGTGTTCTGGCACAAAACACTCTGAAAGAAAATCCTATAAAGCCACAGTTATTTTAGATCTCAAATATGTATGTGCTGCTCTATACTGACTGTTTTCAATAGCTTGCCTATGGTGTACCTTTGAATCAAATACAATTATTGCTGTCAATCACCGTTGCATAAGAGTTATGTCTGTGTGCTGTATCTACAATTTTAAAACACGTTATTTTCTGCAGATTTTTACATTTCTGAGTCCACCACTGTATCTGAAAAGGCAATTCCAAAGCCTATAATGAGGAACAGCACAAGACAATTACAGTATATGTCAATAGTTGGTGAACACAATGGACATCACTATAATGGAAAAAAATATGCAATACAATAGACAGCAGACTGTTCATGAATGCAAGAGTCAGAGTGACACACGACCCGAATGTCAATAACCGTGGCTTATAGGAGTCATGGTCATGAAGAATACAAAATGTTCACGGTTAAAGGATTAGCAGTGATTGCATTAAGACTCTCCGCTTAGTCCAAACACTTCATGAACACAATGTGAACTTTTAGATGCCAAGCGTTGCAATGATAAGACAACTTTAAGCAAGTTTGTGCAATTTTCGACTGGATTTGGATTCTGAGCAACACTTCACTCTCTTCTTTAAATGGGGTGTTTCAAGAGGTTCTTTTTTAGTTTGGATTTGTTAATTTAAATGTAATTCCAATCTTTTTAATTATGTATTCATCTGTTTAGGCCTGTGTACTGAGAAATGTTTGCTTCCCTTGCTCTCTTGTTTTCCATCTCACTGAAGCAACCCAAGAGCTGTCTTATGCAGCAACATCTCATTTTATTCACCCCATCTGCTCTGCCTCATGCTCCAACTGGGATGCATTTGATAAATGTTTCCTATTTTGAAACAAAGCTCTCATTGTACCCAAAAAAAGGTTACAAGACATTGTTGGAATTGTTCATTCTGCCGTATGTGTTCAAATGATCAGTGCACACATAAGCTATAAATCACAGTATGGTTGAGCTGTCTGTATCACCAGCTTTTAGAGTGCATGTGTTTTCCCCTTCTCTCTTTGAGTCCACATGATACAGTACAGTAACTCAGTTGGGGTGGAGGCTGTGTATCTGGGGGGGACAGGGGATCAAGTTGGATCAACTTCAATATGTCAGTTTTTTGGCAGGCAGGGCAGTGAATGATACACTGTTCAAATTTTGTTGGCCGAAAAGCCACCAAAAGGCAGTTTGGTTCAGGATTCAAACTTGTGCAACAAACTCAGAATTATGTGTCTGAAACCACTTCCATGCAACATCAGGAATTACAGCATCCAGATGTTTTCCTCCAACTCTGGTTGTTAGCCAGCTTGTTTTATGGGGCGGATATGAACACATACCGATTCTATCTGATAATATTATGTGTGTTGTTTTTGTCACCTGGCATACATTCTGAGATATCGGTGAAATATGTGTGTTCCATTGTGTGAGAAAATATGAGGGCTAATAATGCAAATATAAATTCCTGTGCAACTCTCTGTTGTGTTAATATCTTTAAGCAAATATGCAAAAATAAACACCTGAACTTGCATAATATAAGCTAACATTGAGAGAAAATATTCAAGTTGTTCAGTTCTTTGAGAGAAACTCAGCAGGCTGCTTTTGTTCAAATGCCATGTAATTCCCCTATGTATGCTGATAGCAATAGAAGCTGCAGCTTAGACACTGTAGAAGACACCTATACTGTAGCATTAAATCAAGCTTCAAACATGTAATCATGTTTTCTGTGCTTCAAAGAAATTGCCAGTAGTTAATAATTAAGTAGAGGCTCGACCTAGGTAATTATCAAAGAGTGACTTAAAAAATGAAACAGTTCTAAGCCTTAAAATGCAAACACGTAAATACTTTGGCAATATGGTCGTGTTCCCGTGAGAGAAGAAAAGCTTTAATCAGTACCTGTACCATTTCACACTGTTGTCCCGAGCAGCAGTAGAAGTTCTCTTTGAACCTTTTCCCCACTGTATCCCCAGTTTCCTGCGGGCAGCGTTTTCCTAGCTATCTCAGTGTTGCCTTTATTCCCTTTGGTTTTATATTCAGATATGCTTTCAGAAACAGGCTGATTCCCATAACGTGCTGTCTCTTTTTTCTCCTACTGTAGTTTTGTTGTCCTACCCCACTGTCCACACAACAAACACAAATGCTGCTGAAATACTTTAATTGAAGCCATCCTTTTCTTTAGAAGTTCATTGAAAGGTTATAGGAGCACATGATTTAAAGGCTGTCTTTCCTTTATCAAGTATGAGCTGTTATTGAGTGACTGTTGACTTTTCAGTATTACGGAGAGTTCAAGTATGAAGGCAACTTGTTGGTATCGCTCTATTCACAGAGAAGGTCAAACCTGAGAGCAGAATGGTGAATAATATGAGGGATTAACACAAGAATCAGAAAGTGTTTTGGTTTATTGATTTCATCATTATTTGAAATTGAAAGGATTTCTGGCACAAAAAAGCATGAAATTAGTTGTAACATAATTGACTATGGCCTTCTGGGATCTTTTTGAAGCTTTGTTTATAAAAAATATGTATATTATATTACAATCTCAGAGCGACAACCTCAATTCTATACTGTATACCGTCATGTGGAAACCTTGTCTGGAGGAGCCTTAATCATTTCCTCCTAAACTTTTCAGTCATCTGACTAATGATCAGACGTCTGCTTAGGTTGATGTTGGGAGTAAGCTTTGCTGGAAATGTGCTGATGTCATCAAACTCCATATGAATCACACTGCAAAGGTGTAATCATCCAACCATAACAGGTGTGTAAAAAGTCCCTCTAACCCCCCACTTGTTTTTCCTTCGCGGTAGGCAGAGCCATGCAGGCATATTGAAAGCTGTTGCAAAGTCCAACAACACAACAGGCAGACTGCCTTTGGATGCTATTTTCCCTAGAATAATTTAATCTGTATGAAAGTTCAAAATATAATTCAAACTCCTCCTTAATTAGTTGAATGAAACAATGGGAGAAAGGGGGAACATTGGAGGTTTGTGTTATATACACAAGGCAAGTTTATTTAGCACCTTTCAACACAAGGCATTTCAAAGTGCTTTACAAAAAAAGAAAGACATTAAGAGCATTAAGAAACACATTAAAATGGCATTTAAAAACACTCATTTAAAAGCAAAGCATGAATAACAAAAGGTACATGAATTAAAGTGTGCGATACACACATCTGAAATGTTTAAGTCTGCATTGCTAACTTTTTAGCAAATATAGTTTTCTATTAACTCACTTTTTTTCTACTTTATTTTTTAACTTATACTTTAGCTATTTCAAGTTCATGCTAAAAAAAAAACCTTTGGAAGATTCTAATCTGACTCCATGCTACCTTTTAGTTTTTGCCGAAACTCTTTTTTAACCATTCAGCTCACAGGATGCCCCCAACGCTGGGTTAATGTTGAACAAAACTGTTGCCCGATTCAGTGGTTTGGTTTGTCTTGGGGCAGGATGCAGCTGCCCAGTGTGGGGACATTGGCCATAATTGCTACCAGAATGGTTCACTCCACTTTCTGTCATCCGGTTGATGTGTCAAGCCCACAGCAGAAACACAACAAAACATCGGCCACATTAAGAAGGATTCCTGTTCTGCGACTGGGGCAAAAAAGGTGATCGGTGCCTGAACCTGTCTGTGATTTTTACTTCATGAAAAATCCATCAAGAAGTACCTTTGTATTTGGGAGAAAAGGTTACTTTACCTCACAATGCTGGACTATAGGCTTACCACCACACATTCAGCAGCATTTCTCACTCAAGTGATGGTCAGGGACATCACACAATAAACATATGAGACCACATTTATCTTTGGTGTTTGCTCGCCTGCTTTCATGTAACAAAATCAATAGAGAATGTCTAGTGGTTTTATTTTAGTTTTCTGGTGAATCATCCTTTCAAATGAGTTCTCACAAATCGTTCGCCCAAATTCATTGTTTACCTCCTTCACCATTCTCTCTTTTCTTTTTAATAAAGTTGCTTTGTTTATTTCAAAACCTTTTCTAATCCATTTTTCAGTGAGTGTGTCCTGACTATTGCCTGACATCATAAGCTTTCTGCCCCCGTAAACACATCAATTTGAAGCGGTTAACTGTTAGATAACATATTTTTTGCAAGATGTGATCATATAGTCGGCAAATTGTATTTTATTAGAAGTTTTAAAAAGAGAATTCCTCCCTGTAAGAGAAATTCTTGGTAACCTTCTACTTTGTTTGTTTTTTCACTTGAGGGATGTACACCTGTTCCCCAAATTTGATCTCATTATTGCAAGTGTGGAATTGTTTTCCCTCCGTCTCATCCATCTCACAGGATGAATTCTCATTAGAGTGGAGAAAACCAATTCTCTTTTGCGATATTTTTTTCATTGCTGCTCTCTGCCTGCTGGCTGCTGGGGATTCTTGAGTTTGATCCTTATTTCTCAACACCTGGAAACTCAATGGAGCCGCCTGTGGTGAAGGAGAAAAAAGTCTTATATCCTTATTATCTGCCGGTGACTTACATTGTATCAGTACCAGGTCCAGACACTCATTTTCACCCATTGCATTCTCCTCTCCTACAAGAACCAATTATTATCACCACCATTGCCAGTTCCAATGATTCAAAAATAAATGCAACTTTTTGGAGTATTTTAATGGTAACGCACGAAGATAATGAAAGTCTTCCTTAGTTTATTATTCCAGTCAATGCCAGCCTGTTCATGGGTTAAGTAATCTCTGGAGCTTGCATTGCTCCTGTGTGAACCTGTAGAGCAGATGAGAAGCAGAGTGTATGTCAGTGAGGTATGTGCGTCTACACACCCTGATGAAGGGGAGTGTACGTGCAGACAGAAAACCTACAACCTCCTGTCTCCTCTCTGTTTCACCTCAGGGAAAGTACAAGCTGCCTAAAAGTCATACTCTGTAGCAGACCAGTATTTATTCACCAGGGAGAGACACATACCACCACAGCCATGGGGAAGCAGGTAAGATCTGATAAAGCACTTAGTGGTATCGGGTTATTAAGTACATTTTGTTTCAATTGCTTAGCATTGCTAATCGTCTCGGACTGAGCAGTGGGACACTTGGGTAGCAGTCATATAAAGGTGACGCTGAAGGCCTGAATACTTACACGTAAAGTTTTCTGTAAGAGTTGTAACTTATTTTATAGAAATACTCTCTAATGACTGCACGTTATCTATAATACTTTAATATTGATTTCTCGCACATGTGAATCACATGTCAGGAATACATCAGAGACACACAAGCATAGGAGGCACAGCAATTACCATATTTGTTTTGATGAGAACCACCACACTTTATGTGTCTCTTTGTGATATTTAATTTAGAGGTGAGCCGGAAATGTTGTCTTAACAACAAGTTCACTCTTGTTTGCTCATGAATCACATCTGCTGACTCAAATCAGCGTCCTCATTAAACAACTGAAGATTATTAAACGAGCAAATATAATCAACATTTCCGATGCACAGGGAACCATTTATTTGCATGACTTTGCTGCCCAAGCTTTCCACGGGCAAGCTCATGATTTTCAATGAGATTCTCATTATTCTTCTCCCACTTTGTTTTGGTGAGAGCTAAGGCGATACCATGTTGTTTAAGAGAGAACAGAATGTGGAATTGTGCCAAATAACTGTGGATAGGGAACTCTGGTGAATTAATTTCAGTACTTTCCCTCTGGTTCTGCTATTGCTCGGAAGCGTCAACGTCCCTGTTTTATAAGTAAAGCATTCTTTCTTGGTATCAATCCTCTTTGTCTTTGGTATTGAATTATTATCGTTTCATTTTTTCTTTCACATCATAAACTGAACAAGGAATTTTGAATGTTTTATTGAAGTATTTTTCCAATAGTACTCTTCCTCTCATTACAAAGCTCAGTTTCTCCAAATCCTCATGTGAAATGACAAAAGAAACAGTTTCCATCAGGTCTGAAGTGCCAGCTCCACCAGCAGCTGTGAGTTCTCTGAGCCCACTTGTTGTGACAGGGAGAGAGCCAGAGCTGGTTCAGTCTCATTGTCAGAGCCAATGAGTGTGGATGGAAATGGGGTACTTGTGTATGAATGTGTGTGTATGTGGACTCACTACACTGTGCAGTTAAGGAATATTCTTTTTATCAGCAATACCTCTGCAGGAAAAGTAAATGTTTAATCCATTTCAAACTCCAGAGAATGTGCGTCATAGGCCAAGGTTGAGGAATGTGTCCTAGACTGTCTCGAAGGAATGCTTTGTTGACAAGTAGATGGAGTGAGCATACTTAGTAAGGCCACACTGAGCCAAGGCTCGCAGCAATCAGAAAACTGATCAGTTTGCCTGCCTCTTGACCTACACAGAGTCTGTACACAGCAGAGACAGGCTACTTGGAGATATGTGCTTTAAACACTGACCGATATCAGTGTGACTGCAGTGACATCAAAAGTGTCTTATTCCATCCCGATGTAACTAACCCAGATCAACAGCTGGGCTTCTGCCTTTGGCTCCAACTGTCTCCTTGGACACATGAACACATCTCCCCACAGCAGATGTGCAGACCTCCTCCAGCAGTTCTTGTTGTAGGAGTGCAGTGACTCTCTGACTACAGGATGGATAAACAGCACAGGTGTTAATGTAAAGCTTTATACGTCCCACACATAAGATTAGTTGTTCATTTAATTGCTAGTGCTACTCGTAAAAACAGACTTTATTTGGGATTTGGGTATAAGGCGGAGTTACTGTAGCAGATGTGAGAGTGATTGAATGCTTCACTTGCACCGTCTTTGATAAGAGTCGAGTGCTGTAGATGGGAGATTCTTGATAAAGACGTGACACTACTTTTCTTCAGTAGATCCCTCAGAAGCTGGAAGCAATTACAGACTCCTCCGAGCAGCAAAGAATGTAGCAGGCGTTCACCACACCCTTTCACAAGGATTCATTTTTTTCAGGATAAAATAAAAGCCAAGACTTTCAGGCAATGGGGATGTGGTGTGGACTAAACACAACATATGACCTTACTTTCCCAAAAACTCCTTCAGTGTTTTATTTCAATGAGTAATGCCAGACAGAGCAGTATTTTATTGTGTTGCTGTTAGCCACAAAGTACAACTGGTTTTCCAGGGGAATGATGTTAACCTTGGCCTTCCCTTTTTTCATATTATTTTCAAAATCTTTATATTGTGGCTTATTTTAATCATTCCATGAAAACAGACAATGAACCAATAATACATATCAGCTGTACGGTATCATGGTACATACATGTAATTGTTAACCAAGTCTCTAACCTGTTAGGCCCCAAGCCTGTTTTTCAGGTTTCAGGCTCGAAAATAACATTCCCAGAACAAATGACCATATCTTCCCTTCTAAAAAGGGTTAAATTAATAATCTTTTTTCTCAAAGTAATGATAAACCTGTGAGTTGGATGTAGAAAAGTCAGAATCAATATAGATGTTTTTTATTTTAAAGAAAATTCAGATTGAACATGGTAAAAAACTGTAAATTATAGTGTCCGTCCAAAAGATATATTTTGTAATTATAGTGAAAACTAACCTTGGATGATGGGTTAGTAGACTAAAAGCTTTAGGAATCCAAAGTACAACAATAAGTACCCTGTATCAAGATTGATGCAAAACAAGTGATATTTGACTTTTTTAGACATATTTAGCAAAAAAAACCTCTTCTGGGGCCATTTGGGTGGATTTTCCATATCTCTGGTCCCCCTTCTTCGATGTTGACATGTGACATCTCCTCCTGACCGTTAGAGCCAATATAATCGAAGGGAAATCGTCCCATAGACTCTCATGTTAAAAAAGAGGGGCGTCGTTGCGCCTACAATCTTGCTGCAGAGCGTAGGAATATCCCTGCTCTGATATCTTGAAACAGAAAAGCAGTTTTATTGCTTAAATGGATTATCAGAACATTTCAAAGGGGACACAGTCACATTGGATATTAACCTATGGATTAACTACAGCATCGTTTTTATCGTTTTAATGCCATTGAAGACCAGTTTTGATCAGACAAAGACCAAGGTAAGCCATGTTAGTGTTTGTGGCTACTTAGTGCGACATGTTTTGATGTAGGTTTTTGTTATTTTCTCCGCAAATTTGTAATCTTTGAGTGTTGAGGTGGGTACCAATAGATTCTGTGTCTCCTTACGATCATAAACGATGTGTTGGATGTGCACCTAGGATAAGTAATAAGGGTGCTAGGAGTGATTTTTGGTGCAGTAATAGGTTAGCATTTTTCGCTCGGGGCTAGGTCAGTGTTAGCAAATTTGAGTTTAAAAAAAAGTTAAATGAGTTTTTTTCCGTTATATGGATATAAAACATTCATAGTTTATTAAATATGAAGGTTCATTAGACGTTGTTTCCTGCAAATGACGCAATTTCGGCCCCGGATACGGGTCCGTGGGGCTTAATAGGTTATTTTAAAGAAGACTACGCTTTCTTTCATTTATGGCACCTCTAAACAATGAATATACATCTCCTTGTAAAAAATGTTAACCTAAATTAGTTCGCTACTTTAGCTTAAAGGGATAGTGGAAATCCGCGAATTTTGGGTTTAACTTATGTATTTTTATTAAAAAGAAGCATATTAAACAATTTTTTTTAATTTCATCCGCCTAGTTTCATTTTATTTTCAATTTTACTGCGCCCTCTCAATGAAACGAAATACTTCGGGAATCGTCGGGAATCTTCGGGTGATGACGAGAGCTCAGGAAGACGGGCACAAACAATGGCGGACATTCAATAGCATTTGCATGTGAATAGCCGACCTTTATTATGGTGAATAGATGTGTTTTGTATGGCTGTAGTGCGACAGAAAAATTCTACGCGACATTGGATTAACCTTGAGATGCGTTTTTATTCCGTTGAACACAACTTTTGATCACAAATCAAAAAAGGTAAGACGTAATTATTGTAATATTTTTGGAACCGGATGTTGTTTACTTTCTCTTTTCTGGCTGATAGCTCCAGGAATTCGAGGTCTTACAGTGATGACATTACATCTGTGGAGTCTCAGCTTTAAATCGTATATCTTGTTTGTGCAGTTAAGATAGTAATAAGGGCATTTCTACCGTGTGTTGTGTGTAAAAAAGCGTTAGCATTAGTTAGCATTGTTTCGCTCAATGCTAATTCAAAGGCTTGGTATTACTCTTGTGTTTTTTCTAGCTAACAATTGTTCTTATTGTCAGTTAGCGGAGTTTATTACCTTTAAAAGGGTATGAAACATTAATAGTTTCATAAATGTTAAGAAGCCCTGAGACATGTGAGAGAGAAAAAACGGTGGGAGGGGTCCACTGGGGGGACCTTCGGCCTTAACTGGTTAACAATGATTAATATTTGTAAAGGCTACAGGTGATCTTAAGATGCGTGAGCTATGCTTAGGGACCTACCAGTCAAGATTATTTGTGCGTAGGGGTGCATCATCTGGCGCCTGGTCCTGGTCATCCTCGCCATTGCCCATGCCGTGAACCATCACCTCGGGCTCGGGCTCGAACAAATAAGGACGTAATGGTCCATCGTCTGGCTCAATATTGTCACCATCGTCGCTTACTGAACCGGATTCAGATTCAGTTCCTAAAACGACATTTTCGTAGGAAAGCCGAGAGGATGTTTCTGACTCGCTATCATCACTGGATACCTCGTACAATCCTTCTTCTTTGTCTGGTATATTTGCCCTTCCACGTTCATTCTGCATAGACGCCATGGTTTGTTATCGTATCGTCTTCCTAAGTTTTCGTCACTTCCGGTTAGGCTGAGAAACATTTCGTTTCTAAAAAACTTCGGGGAAGCTGCAATAAAGTGCTTCTAACATGCGTAAGGCAATTATTATATTTTTTTAATCAGGTGTGATTGTTTTGGTACGTAATTATGCTTGTATATAAGTTAAAACGAAACTATTTGAGGTTCCATTTCCACTATCCCTTTAAGACTAAATTCAATCAAACCAGTTAAGCTGTAAGCTTTTATGTGCTTGTTTTCCATAATAGAGAGGAGAACTACGTTAACAATTGATTCTGTTGTTGTCAAATCCAAGAACACAGCATCCATTAAACTGCAGCATAGGAGGATAATCAATTCCAGGTCAATGCTCACAAGAGTCCTATAGGTTCTACTGGCTAATCATAAACCACATGCATGTAGACATTGACTGAAGGGACACAGCAGATAATAAACACACACGGCATCATGCCTGTGTGATAAATAGTTTAAACAATTTTAAGGGGGGAACTTTCTGTTAAATTACAAACCATAACACCTCCTTTCAGTACTGAGGATATATTGCAATATGTGTTAATTGGCTTGGTAGTAACGTGTTCATTAATTTGCTTGATGTTTGGATTGATTGTGTGTTGCTTAGTTATGGGCAGTATGCCTTGGGGATGAAGGCAATTATAAATCTTGAACCTTTGCCATGGTGAGCACAGACTACGCTTTCATCTTATTGTTTACTGAAAGAAAAAAAGAGGAGTGGCTGTTTTGTTTTGTCCTAGTTAGGAAAACAATCACTGCTGCTTAGATCAGCATTTAAAAAGGCAATCATGATGCCAACGCATGTGCTAACTCAGTTTCTAAGGGCTTAATAGCAAACATAACATGATAAAGATATTCTGTTATGGGCAGCCTTTTATGTGGCCTGTGATCTGATGAGGGCCGTTTAGTGAGCAGCAGAATAGCATATTTGTTGTGAGGATGTGTGGAGCTGTGTATTATGCAGCCATGCAGCAGAGCCCTGGAGACTGATCCCATCTGTTCGGGGCCCGGTCGCGTAGTCACAAACTCATCAAAAAATGCTCCCCAAGGTTAATGCACCCCCCTTTGTCTGCCCATTTGCTACATCTTTATCTTTTGGCTGAGAGGGTGGGCAGCCAGGGGCAAGAGCGCAACCCTGGGGAGGAAGGGCAGGGGGGCTGATGGACTGCATTAATGGCTACAATATCCATGAAATGACCCAGTGGAAGTGACGCTTCCTGGGCATGTTTTACGCTCGCATGAACACACGGCTGGGGCTGGGACAGGGTGGGGATCTCTAGAAATGAGGGAGGGAATATTGAAAGAGACTAGCCAGGATGCTACTCTGTGTTTTGTTTAGTCTCTCATCCATGTGCTACTGATGAGAATGCTGAGCCTTTGATGAGAGTTGCATCTTCTTGCTGTGTTTGAGAGGATCACGCTGGACCATAGCAAGTAAGTTGAGCTATTTGTTTTTTTTTGCTTCTGAATTGAAATGAAAAGTTGTGACTGGGGTGATCATATCAACCCTATCATCCTACTAATTAAATATGACTTTTGTCCGTTCTTTCTTATGTTTTCTTAATGTACAAGGTGTATTTGGACATTTTAAGATTATCTATAGATTTCTGGATTTTTTGTTTAGTGCAAAATTAGATTGTGCTTTCAAGGTGCTTTGCATCAAGGTGAAGCATAACCTTTTAACATGGTGATCTATCTTTCAAACATCTGTGCTCCTCCTCCCTGCAAGTAATTAGGTTTCTCTCTAGCCCATCAAAGTTTATGTAACATTACATTTCACAGCCTATTTTTTTCCAACTTCTTATCTGCTTCTTCAGAAAGGCTTGTGTGGCCCTTTGCAGGTCTTTGTCCAATTAATACAGCTTGATGTGACAACCGCTAGCACGAGCACTGCCTCAGGCAGCAAATGGCCTAATTTAATGGGGATGAATATTCATTTGTTTTGATTAATCGTTTCGACAGTGCTGCTACTGATTGATAAGAGGATAAATGTACAGTAAAAATCCACACATATTTCTGGAATACATTTTTCTTAAGATAACACTTAGAACGTTAACATCTTGTTTGCCACTAATAAAAGAATACACCAGAAATATGTGTGTTTCCCAACCTCTGGACTAGATTCAATTGTGGCTTCGGGTCCTATTTTATCAATTGTGAATGTTGTCACAGTTAATACATTATGACAAAGTAGCTGTCACATATTCAAATTTAAACAATTCATCATATTGAGTTGAATTTCTGATGAGGCAAAGGAATAGACAAAAACAAATGTTTTCCATCCATTTTCCATTCCATAGACTAAACTATGTTTAAACTATGTGTGTTAGCCCGGACCAAGGATCAGCTTGGATTTCCAGTGGGTGAAGTGGGAACAGTTGCTCAAACCGCAGCCCAGACAAGTGTTTCTATTCTGGAATGGATAAAACAGAAACAGACATTTTTCCACTTGGTGTTTATTGCAGTTCAGAAAAGGGGCGGGGCTTTGAATTGAACTCAGGAGTGGCAAAACCATTTTCACCTTTCAAAACACTAGCCTCAAATGTCAGTGTTATTCTACAATCCATGTAAATGTCATGGGTGTTATGGCATTTTATTGCATTGAAATGAATTTTAGTGTGCAAGAGTGAATAGGCAAAGTCATTATTTCACGGGCAATTTATGGATTTATGGCAATATGAGTCCTTGGGCAGAAGCAATAACACTGTCTTGTAGATTTTCATGTATTTTCATGTATTTTCATACATCTGGGAAGTGAAGTGAGAATAATGTATTATTCTGTGTGTGTGTGTGTGTGTGTGTGTGTGTGTGTGTGTGTGTGTGTGTGTGTGTGTGTGTGTGTGTGTGTGTGTGTGTGTGTGTGTGTGTGTGTGTGTGTGTGTGTGTGTGTGTGTGTGTGTGTGTGTGTGTGTATGTGTGTGTGTGTGTGTGTGTGTGTGTGTGTGTGTGTGTGTGTGTTTTACATAGGAAATGGATTTGTTCTGTGCAGTTTACAAATCCATTAGTGGGAGTAGAAAGAGCCAGGCAGAGGAGTCACATTGGAAGTCATGCTTAATTTGTCTATTGTCGTTCCCTACTTGTCAGCATAAGAGTTTAGTTGCGGTCCCTGGGAGCTGAGTGACCCGTCTCATTGTCTCCCCGCTAACACTTACCACATTTCTTTCCCTTACAAAATGCAGCAGACTTTAGACTGGCATGGGATGCTGGAAGGAACAGCAGAGTGACAGACAGCAGTAGGCTTGACTGAGAAACAAACAAGCTGTGAAGAGAGGGCCGAAGGTTTGCCAATGAAAAGATTAGAGTGGCATTTGGCTGAAGCGCCAAGATGCATCGTTGCTCTGGCCACGCAGCCATGGCAACGGAAGCTTTATGCTCTCCTCCCACTGAGTGTCCAGACTGTACCAAATAGTCATATAAAGGTCTCCCTAATCTTAAATTCTTACAACATAAATCCCATTGTGGCTGTTTTAAAAGACATTTGCTTTGATGACTCATTTCCATATAACTTTATCTTGCTTTGAATAAAATGGAAATGGGTGAGCCGCATAAAAGTCTAATATAACTGTGCATATAACCTCAGCTGAGCATCTCTGCTAGGCCCATCCATCTCAGTGCTCCCATTTGTCATGCAGGGCACCTCTGTTCCCCGGTGACCAATCAGGAGTGCCTCCTTGGCTGTTAAAAGCGCCCCCCTCACCACCTCATCATCAGTTGTGATTGACAGCCTCCCACAGGAAAGAGGGGGGTTATTTACCTCCTTATGTTCTCATGGGACTAAGTTAATGATCCCAGCCAACAAAATAATACAAAGAGGGGAAAAGCCTGAGAAGTCGGCGCCTGGTTGAACCATTTGGAGCTGTTTCGGCTTGCTTTAGAGAGGATTAGAGAAGAAGAGGTTGTGTGAGGAGAATTTCAGAGATAGCGGTGAGACAGTCGATGCTGCAGAGCCCAGGCAGAAAGTAGGAGCTAAAGGGAGGCTTCTGAGGAAAGCCAGTGTTTTCAGAAAAATCTCTTCCTTGGCTTTATTGCTGCATTCATCTGTCATCCGTACTATGGACTGTCTAGTTGACTGAGTAACAGACTGTGAGGTAAGGGATCATCTGTATTTTCCATGGGTGGCACTTTAAAAGTGCCCTTAAGGTATTTTAGTCTTAAGTTGGGCTTTTAGAAAGTTTGGGTTTGTTAAAATAAATACAGTATTTGGCTTGCTTTTTGTCTATGTGTTTAAAATGTAGCAAATAATAATTGGATTTACAAAAAATTTCAAATCACAATAATTACAAAATAACATTGATGATAAATTAAAGTGTTTTTGGCTTCATTGCACCTTATTGACATACCGGCGTAATCAGTCTTCAGAGATGACATTATCTTCAACACATTTGCTGCATTTACATACCGTCACTTCTAAGTTGTTTTCATTGTTCCCACCATTTTCAAATGTTCTTACTTTGTTGAAAACTGCAGGCTAAGCTCAAACACAAGGAGTCCTGGCAGGGGTATTAGGTTGCTAGTCCAAACCAATCTATGCCTCAGGTGCTGAAGTTTGACCACACAACATAAACATTTGCTTTACACAGCGGTACCGTATCCTAACGTTGTTGATAGGGTCATTTTAGGTAATGGTCTCTAACTAAATACCTCAAACCTCATATTCAAACTGTGAAACAGGCTCAAATCCAGAGCTGAGAAACCGATCAAACTTTCTGTGATCAGAAACGCTGTTTTGATGCCAGTTGAATCAGCCTGCACATGTTTGTGTTGGGAACATTTTCACGTAGCAGGAGACTGGCGAACAGATGCCAACAAAATGAAAAAACTTTCAACACTCTCTAACTCGTGACCACAATACATTCCTGTGTATTTCCATTTCAGTGAATGTATTCAAAAGAAAAAACAAAAGGGTGTGCTCGCTTTGAGGAAGTAAGGTTGCTGAACGTGGGTTCCTAACTAAATGTGGCTTGCTTCCTAGCAACATCTGTGCTAATGAGCATGACAACTGCACACAGAGTATGTGTGGCAAAATGAGTGCACTGTGTGTTAATTCATACTTCATGTTCTTCATGTTAACATTGACCTGGATACAAAGTGCCACTGTCCTTTCCCATCATTGATTTCGGATTTACATAATGCACTATTTCATTGGGCCAAATCGAATTTCGCCTTGAGCATGAATCACATTTTCCAGCTTTAGCAGTTCAGATTTGCCCTAACATGGCTGAAATAACTTGTAAATGTCATTGTACAAATTATGAACAAATCTGAGAAAATGTGTGATCAATTGTAATTTTTTGGCTCAGGATGATGTTTAGGTATGGATGAAAATAAACTTTGTTGAGAGTCATGGCAACACTCCTGCTCTGATGGCCTCCAGTGATCGACCAAACAGCAGGAGTCCTGCCCCTTCCATGTGATTGGCCAGTACAACAATTTTGCAGCCCACTGTGTGTAGATGGGATAGGTACAGTTCTCAGGGAAAGAAGAGGAGAGGGTGGAAAGTTTTGATCCTCCTACTAATTTTCAGTGTGCTTAGAGAAAAAGGGTTAGAGGGTCAGAAACTAAATGAGAGTAGGAGAGACGAGTCACTGTATAGTTCACACCGCTGCACTGGACCAGCTTTGACAGAGCCAAAATATCAACTCTGACTGACTTTAAATGAGGCGGTATTCTCTCTTGGATGTAATCATGTGGCGGGTAAGTCAAAGAGTTGTTCTTAACTCAGTCTGTATTATATTGTTACTGCGTCTCTTTGTTTTGCAACCAAAACATTGAGTCATCATATGTTTCCAAGCCTCTAGGCAGTTCTCTGTGCAAGTGCTAAGGTTGTTTGGCCTTGTTGTGTTCAAAGATTCCTCTATTTGAACACAGAATAATACTTGAGGACTAAGATGACTAAGTGAGGAGGCCAAGGGGATTTTTTGTGATTAAAAGCCTCACAGAGAGTGGGAGTAGTTCAAGTTTCCTCTGTCAACGCAGCACTTCAGCACATGCCCTAGGATTTCTGTCAGCCTCTTCCCAGACTCTATCTACAAATAATCATCAATATATATATATATATGAGCAATCACTTGAGTGTTCCTTTTAATATTATTTCTGAATTTCCTTTCAATTTTCTGGTTCGTCATAAAAGTTTTGTATCACCATTTTACTCAAACCAGAAGATATGCAGCGCTGAGGGAGACAAATCCAGCCTTTCATCCTTAATCTGGTGGCCTCATGACCTACAGAAAACCATTCACTCCGCTGATAAGATAAAAGATACTGACTTTTCTCCCCTGCTACATCCATACATGCTCTAGCAATACATCAGGACACAGCTTGTGACATGCATACATATATAGGATTTCATTTTCATTCAATCGTTTATTTGAACAGGGAAAATGCACATTGATGAACACTTTGATCAAATAATGCTTCAAATGTAAATATGCGGGATTTTAACTTTGATCTAATTTCCATCCGTAGATTCATTCTACATGAGGCTAATGATGTGTACAACTGGGGCGTTGCTGTTGGGTTCGCAGTGCCAGTTTCCCTTATTAATTAGTGACTTATCATGTTCCTGCGAGAAGGAATGTTAGACATCTTCCCACCCGTGTGTGCAGCCTTTGATCACCAGTGTGACAAATAGATATCAAGCTGTCACCATGGCAACTCATGTGGAGGTTGTCAAAGAGGACGCTGCATTGCTTTAAAGTGTATGGTATGGTAAGATTTGTGTTTATTTAGGGCTATGTTACGATTGTATTGTCATATATAATATTATTATGATTATTGTTCTTACTGCAATTCGTTTTTTTTCATATGGGATGAATATAACATTTGTATAATTAGACTCAATAATTTCTTATGAGTAATATAACTGCAAAATATCAAGATGCTATTCTGGGATTTGTTAAGGTGAGAAATCTAAAGTAAGTATAGAAAACGTGTTTGATGTAGTTCATAAATCAGCCACACGATGTCGCTCTTTGAGTGTCTTCTCCGTTGATAGCACTTGAGGCTATGACGTACAAATCCCTGATCAACACACCAGAAAAGACAGACAAATATGCTCAGAACTTGTGTGTGTTCTGATGTTAACGAACCTCTTCCTCGCGATAGTTTTGGGTTGTATGACGAGGATTAATGAGCAGCAGGCTCATGCTTGGAAAGTCACATTCTGTAAAGTTCCTGTGGTTGTGGAAAGGATGCGGTGTTTTCCCGACGATGCCACCTGCCAAGCCGCGGAGAGGAAATTAGAGTTTGGTGCAACTCTTGTTCTTGACCAGGATGACCTTTAGGCTACAGCACAGACAGTAAGAGCACTGAGAAATGGAAGAAAGTGGAACATAACTTAATCAGCTTAACTTCTCAGCCTGTATGAAACTCATTAACTACAAACTTCATGTGCATTACAGATTTTACTGCCATTTCCTCATCTGGAGCTTTGTAATTAAAACATCCTGCATCCATTATTGGAGTAAGCAGGAGACTCTTAATGGAAAGTTAAATTGAGTATTTGTTACCTTCATACCAGTTTATATCTGTTGACATGAGTTTGCCAGATGAGTGCCCACATGACAATCACACTTCTCATCATGTTTGACAGATGTTTACAGTAGTTTAAATGCTTTTGTAGTTATTTTGGCCTCCACAATACTTCACAAAATCTGTAATAATAATACTCTATATGTCAGCCAACACCAGGCTTCATGCAGCTAATCTCAGTAATGTGTGCATCTGCAGATCAGGTAGATTTGTCAGTCTAATCAGCTGCTTGTGCTGCCACAGCTGTAAATCACATTAGGCCTGAGTGGGCCGCTGCTGAGCTGGCTGCTTTAGGGAGCATTGGTCACAGCCACGCTGAGAAGACAGGATTACAGATAAATATGTTAGGTGTCTGCCCCAGGAAAGAAGACAAAGAGCAATCACACTCTCTCAGTCGCCCAATACGTGGTTCAGAGCCATCATTAAAGGTGATAAAAGACCATAACCAAAAGGATTAGAAAGTGCTTGAGCAGGAAATTGTCTTCCTATCTGAGAGGATGTCATTGTTTCATCTCTAAATTAGCCATTACTTCCGAATCAAATAAAACTCCAAATGTTAAGTCTTTGCGCAAGTTCATCATTTGACAAAGCGCCACACAGTTAAAAGCGTATGTCTCACATCTGTCATATCTGCTGGTATCGGGATTTAAGACTCTTGGAGCATAATTCTGTAGTATGCCGATTATCTCTGACTATGTACCCATAGCAAACATGGCTGTGAAAGTAATACATATGGATGTCATATTGGTTTCTTTTAGGACTAGATTTTATAGGATTCTGGCATTATATACTATAGCTTTTGGCATTCTCTTGTCCTAAATGCTGCATTACAGTTTTTGATGTGATTGTTGCCTCTGAAAAGCTATCTTTAAGGATGCTCAAAGTGTCCTTACTAATCCAATGGTCACATACAATCGGAATCAGAATCAGAAACAGGTTTATTACCAGGTTTACACTTACGAGGAATTTGACTTGGTGTCGTGGTGCATACATAAAAGTAAAACAACAATTAAAACACAGATAGAGAACTAGAACAAATATAAAAAATAATACAAAATATAATATAACGGTATTTACATTGCAATGGAATGGAATAAAAAGGATTCAAATATGGAATACAAATAAAAATCAGCAGTAATAAGAAAAGAAAACAGATATTGTTGTACATTGTGTGCATTAATGTAATGCATAGAGTCTAATGTAGCTGAGGTAAAGTGTCAGTGGGGGGCCGAGCCTTATTGATGAGGCCGGTAGCGGAGGGGAAGAAACTGTTCAGGTGGCGAGAAGTTTTGGTCCTTGATCAATGTTTTGGTAGAGGTATGAAAAAGTACATTGTGTTCAAATTCGTAATATGGTAGCAATCAGGAGAGAGGAAGAAGAAGAAGTTAATATTTTAAAAGACAAACTTCTAAATGTGTGCACTAAGTTTTAGGGTCCTCTTGCTGATTTCATCACACTAAACTCCATCCCAGTTGGGGACCTTTTAGAAGAAACTCAAGGAATGCCTGTCACATTCCCGTGCATCACCCAAGCAATGTAGCTCACACACCCACCACTTTGTCTGAACTTTAGCGTCTCTTTAATATTTACAGTGTGTATCTGTCTGTCAGAGAAGATTCACTCTGGGGACTCCTTTTGAATGACAGGAGAATTCAAATAGAGAACAGTGGGGGTGTGTCTGGAAATAGAGCCACATGGTAAGCAGATGGTACATCCGTGATTCCCACACGAGGGCCAAGTGGGACAGAGTTGTACGTAGCAGGTGATGTTTCTGTCTTTATTTGAAGTCTTATTTGTCAGGAAGGATGTTTGTATGCTAATTTACTTAAATTGTTTCTGTCAAGATGAATTGAGATTTATAGAATGAATATAGTATTACTTTACTGTTGACGTCCATGGTGCTGTGTGTTTTTTCAGTCGGGAACTCATGAGGGGTATTACATAAAACAAGCCTCTGTGGACTTATTCTACGTCACCTAGTTTTGTGGAGGGAGTCACAGACCTCTGTCCCATGTTACAGATGAGTCCTGCTGCCTCGCTGTGTGTCTTTGGCTTTTCTCTTTTAAGTCCCTGCGGGCATAGCCAGGAAAAGTTCCAATCCACAGCATTGTGCTACTAGAAGCTAGAGGGATAGCCACATAAGGAAACCTGAAACCGATCCTGACGCTTTGAATTTCTGAATGGGCAGGGCGGAGAGGACAGTAACCTGCCTGTGAGGGCGAGGGCTGGGGCTCTGCGGGATCCTGCGCCTCCGCTTTGCTGATTTCCCCTCTCTCTCTCTCTCCCTTTGGCGTGTCTGCTCTCTCTCCTCTATCTCTCTTTCTCATCTATCCTATCTCTCTCATCTTCTCTCTCTCTCTCTCTCTCTCTCTGATACTCTCTCTCTCTCTCCCTTTGGCTGTTGTCTGCTTTCTCTCTCTCTCTCTCTCTCTCTCCCTTTGGCTGTTGTCTTCTCTCTCTCTCTCTCTCTCTCTCTCTCTCTCTCTCTCTCCCTTTGCGTGTTGTCTGCTTTCTTCTCTCTCTCATCTCCTCTCTCTCTCCTCTCTTTTGGCCTTGTTGTCATTCTACTCTTCCTCTTCTCTCTCTCTCTCTCTCTCTCTCTCTCTCTCTCTCTCTCTCTCTCTCTCTCTCTCTCTCTCCCTTTGGCTGTTGTCTGCTCTCTCTCTCTACTTCCAGTACTGGCCAGCGCTCCAGCTGTAGGTGGAGCTGGCTTTCCTGGAATTGTCGGGCAACTTTTCCTGTTGTGCTTTCTACCTCTTGCTCAATCTCTTGCTTAATGACAGCTCTACTGCAGGATTACAGGGGGCTGTGAGGACTTTTCCATCTGGATGCCCGTATCTACATCCTGCTGGGGTTTATGGCTGGTGCCTTTGTTGTCATAAATATGTTTTCATGATTTAGGTCAGAAGTTTTCCTTCAGCAGAAATGTCTCGGCATTGCAAAGTGTGGCGAAATCCATCGGTGGGTAAAGTAAACTGTGTATGAATGGGAGAGCTTTCAGGAGTGCGTAGTGTACTTCGGACTGTAAGGCAGTTCACGGTGGCTCTTTGCCACGGTGTTGTTTTGCAAGCTTTTATAACTTCAGGGTATTTTATAGCACAGGAGATGACATCAGAGGATAAGCATCCTGCATTGTGTTTGTTAACAAAGCTCTTTATTCATTTTGTATTGAGGACAGCTTGGCTGAAGCAACTACTTAACCTGTTTAACCGGACCTGTGCGAGTACAGTAACCGTTATATTGTAGCTGGTAGCTTTGCTAAAAATGCCATGGTGTTATCTTGTATGATAAGTAAAGTAAAAACATGTCAAGCACATGGATGAGTAACATAGTATGTTCATGAGCCACAGTTTGGTGAATTTGTAGAGATAAGTTTGTTTTTAACCTACTTGCATTAATTCATTAAGACTCACTGTATCTAAAATTGTAAAAAGTAATATAAATAATAAATAAATGTTGATTAAAGTTAATGAATGAAAAATACCAACTTTCAAACAATATCTGTGCCAAAAGGCTTGATGTTTAGCATACTTTGTTAAAGACTGAAGAGTTTTCATGGTTGCATTTGATCCTCTGTAATAACTTCGAGACACCTGCATCGAACACTCCGTCTTTAAAGAACAAAATAGCACCAAAAAAAGGGCCACCATAAGTATCTCATTCACTAGAGACAAGTGCTTTAGCTGCGTGTCTGTGAAGATTTGAATAGAATGGGAAGAACAAACCCTGGTCTGTAACTCAGAGGTAATTGCTGTATCCTCCAAACTTCAAAAGGCTACTTGTGCCTCACTGTCCTGATAATGAGCTTTTGCCTTCTTCACACATAATGAGTGGAGGTAGAGAGTTCACAGAGAGACGCTGTGAGCACAGTGTGTCCACTCGCAGCTGGGGTGTCTAACTGGCTGGGAACAAAGGCTTAGTGTCTGTGATAGTGTGGAGCCCCAGCCATCAGCAAGCAGGCCAATACACTTCTGCTTGGCTGAGCTGTCAGTCTCCCTGGCCTGCTGGCCTTTGGACTACGGTATTGAAAAGAACACATTGAGGTAGGCTAGACTATCCCTGTGCCAAATTAAAATGAGCCGTTGCTGCATACTCAAAGTTCAGACAAATATAACGTACAGAAGTCTGATATATGTATAATATGCAGACACGTGTTATTGTTTGAGTATTCTCCTGCTTCCTTGGTTTATTTTCAGATTTACTTGATTTCCATAATGAAATATCTTAAACAAATATTTACATACATTATATTTGAGGTTTAGTTTGCAATGGAAATCAAATGAAAGTCAGGAAAAGGGGGAATAGTTTTAGTTTTATTATCATAAGTACTTATACACATAAGTACTTATACACATAAGTACTTATACACATAAGTAGAGACAGAATATGCATGGCTTTTTCTAAACTTGGACAAGGGTTATTTACACAATTGTTGTTATTTTTGATTTATCGTTTGGTTCATAAAATCTCAGAAAACATGCTGTTACAATTTACTGAAGCCAGAGGTGAAGTTTTTAAATATTTAGTTTTGTCTGACAGCAATCCAAAATCTAAAGATATTCATTTGACTATCAACTAAGACAAAGTAAATCAGAAAATCCACTCGAATGATATGCTGATACAAAGGATTGTTTTGTTTTATTGCTTAAAAGATAACCTTACAATGTAATACTTGCAGATTAAAGGCAATCCTTTTTAAAATCCCTTTCTGTGTCATCTTTACAGATAGCTGATCAGCTTCCCTGGATTTCGCTGACGACCTCACTTTGTTTTGCCTGAAAATGGAAACACTGGAGTCGGAACTGACCTGCCCAATTTGTCTGGAGCTCTTCGAAGACCCACTGCTCTTGCCCTGCGCTCACAGCCTTTGTTTCAACTGTGCCCATCGTATCCTGGTGTCACACTGCACCCCCAGCGAGCCAATTCAGTCCATCAGCGCCTTTCAGTGTCCAACCTGTCGCTATGTCATCACTCTGAACCAGAGGGGCCTAGAGGGACTGAAACGCAACGTTACATTACAGAACATCATAGACCGATACCAGAAAGCTTCTCTGAGCGGACCTAATTCTCCTAACGAGACTCGGCGTGAGCGAGCCGCGCCAGAAAGGAAAGCCATGACTTCTCCCGGTGACCGAGTGCAGTGTCAGTTCTGTGAGCAGGACCCCCCGCAGGAGGCCGTGAAGACCTGCATCACCTGTGAGGTGTCATACTGCGACGATTGCTTGAAGGCCACACACCCCAACAAGAAGCCTTTCACGGGCCACCGTCTGATCGAGCCCTTACTGGACTCCCATGTGCGAGGGGTGATGTGTCTGGAGCATGAGGAGGAGAAGGTCAACATGTACTGTGTGACTGATGAGCAGTTGATCTGTTCATTGTGTAAGCTGGTTGGCCGACACCGGGATCACCAGGTCGCAGCCCTCGGTGACCGATTTGACAAACTCAAGGTAAGAAATGATCTGTAGTTAGAGGAATGCTTAGAGAGTTATTATGCACCGAAAACAAATATTCCTACTAACTGTGGACCAACACATTTAAAAGCTGATTTTAGTATTACTCAAAACCGTTTTACATCTTATGCAGTGTCACAGTAGCCTATGCCAATATAACAAGATTGTTATAATAAATATGTCAATTTAAAATCTTTAAAGTGAGCTTTTGAGCAGTTTGACTTGTGCGCCGATATTGAGATAAACTGGTTCATCAGCACATTTTGGAAAGGTTGCAATGGTTATGATTTTGGTCGTAACTCAGCGTCTTGTACTGTAATATTGGTAATTGGATACTTTTCACTGCAACTTAGCAGAACTAATATTTGTATAGGAAGGGTTCCAGTTTGGATCCAGGCCATGCTTCCACTGAATTGTACTGGAGTTAGATTCGATAAAACACATTATTATTCCGTTAAGAATGTATTAAGTCCTGTGTCTGAAGAGCATGAGCATATGCATAAAATGGAAATTATCTGCAGTTTGATGAACGCAATGTTATGTTTCTTGCAAGTACAAATAAGTTGATAATGTGAAAGGTTTTGACAAGGGAGCTGCCTCTGTGTTTATTAATGTCATTGTGAAGCGATTAGTTTACAGTAAACTTCTTATGATAAACAATACGAAATAAGGAAAGCTACAAAATTACCTCACTCAATTAGATTTTACAACAACTTCTACAATATAGCGTATTCATCTATGCCATAGAACTCATAACCATTAAATAGCCACATTATTGAACTGCTTGGCGTCATCTATCACTATGATGAACATGGGCGCTTTAGTGTATTTTGAATCAACACAGACAGACCATCCTTCCTTCTGCTTTGAAAAGAAACAGATCTGCATCTGAAAACACTTCCAAAGACACTATTTTCTATTGAGTAACATTTGCTAAAAACTACAATGCCCAGTTTTTTTAGTTTTAAAAAAAAATACTCTTTAAATTGGATTTATTTCGAATACAAAATACCATATGGCCAGCCCTGTTATTTAAGACCAAATGTGTCATAACCCACAAATAGTATAACTGAAGTGAGTTGGAGGCTGTCTCATGTAATGACACCCAATGCAAGAGAATGCTTTCACAGTTTTTAGGTTAAGTGCAGTGCTCACTTTCTGCAGAAAGGCACACATCAATAAGGGATGAGAAGATGCCTTAAGCTGGAGCATATAAAAAGGTGGCTCTGTATTTCTTCCATTAGAGACATGAATCAGCTTCTATCATAGGAGTGAGAATATAGCTTAGTGGGTCAGTGCTTTGTCAACACAATGTTGGTCTCTATTATGTCTCCAGCAACCTCGGGGGATAGTTTAACATCAGCACAGCTAGTGAAGCCTTTGATAAGGATATAGCTAGTCAGCGTTGACCCACTGTATGTTACTTAATGTATAAGCAAGGTAAACATACACATATTGACTTTTTTAGCTTTATTTCAAATATTGAGCCTTTTAGCTCTGTCAAAGTTCATCCTAAAGTGTATGCTGAGAATTGCATGGCATCTGCTGCATGAAATAAAAATGAGGCTCTGCTTTGTTTCCAGAAAACTCTCCCAGTGTCCATGCATGACTCACACAAGGGGGGGTTTTCTCTATCACAACACTCGAAACCCTTTAGTGTACCCGCTCCTCTCTTTCACAATGCTTGGTCACAGTGGAGCTGGGATGCAAGCTAACCTTTGCAACATTTCTGGCACGATAGGTCAGAGGACCAGTCTTAACCTGTCTCCTTTGTTTGATCATGCTGTCATTGTGCAGAGCTCGCCTGGCCGCTTTCTCTATGTGGCGGGGAGTGGTCTTTCACACCAGGAGGCAGACCAGGTGATCATCATCATTTCTCTAATTCCACATTCAGAGACAGATTCAATAAACAATTGAACCTGAATGTTGCTTTTCAACACGATAGCAACTTGTGCCACATAGTAATGTGACATAGTGTAATGTAGCGTAGCTGGGTGGTTATTAATCTGACCATTTTAGCATACTGATTTGTATTTAAATCATTTAGTGTCAAAGTTAATTTATTGTTCTTTATCTTTCAATAAGCACAGAAGCTGAGTGGGTAAAGACAACGGGGTGTGGGATAGAGCGCTTTATCTGCTTCTTCCTCTCCCCTATAACATCCAGCCGTCGCTAGATGTTATTTTGCAATGGGATATGTTCCACCATTTGTTGTTGTTTTTATTTATGTTTGTATCTTGTTGACCTCATATTATGTGAACTCAGCTGCATTGTTAGAAGCCTCGAGTGACACAGGAAACAGCAATTCCCATCTTAGAGAGAAATTGTGTTTTCTCCCGGCATGCAGGACAGGACCCAGGTGGTTTGCAGCTGAGCTTGTTCATAGTTTCTGGTTTCTCCAAACACATGTTTACAGCCTCAGTGCTTCACTTTTCTCAAAAACTCCCACAGAAGGGGACGTTGCGTCATTGAAGTGAGTGTGCGTGCATTTGTGTGCACGCATGTATAATTCAGTAATTTCTTCAGTCTGGTTTGGCATAATGTGACTTGAACCTGGTCTGGTATTATATCTGGTATTATAAGCCCTTCGTAAAGTTTATATGAATATATTTTTGTGAAGCTTCAGATGAGTAGATTGAGCTTTTTCTAAAACCATTGACGAAAAGGAGAATACACTTTTGGCCATTGCATGTTTAGGAAAAAAAAGCCAGATTGTCAGTCTGTTAGACATAATATATTTAATAGTGTGTATTTCCCTTGATAAAGAGGTTTTCAAAATCATAAAACACACCCTGTTATGGTTATTTATGAACAATCTAGGATTTTGATTAAAAAGCGTGGAACAACTATCCACATTTCCAAATGAGGATTGGACCCGGCTTTCTGAAAGCCATTATTAACAGTCCTCTTTTACTGCAAACATTTTGACCTGTTATAGGTCATGCAAAGTTGTTACTTATAACATATATGATGGATCCATTCTATTGAAGTACCCCGTTAGGCCAGTGAACAAGCTTCATTGTATTATTTACACGTGAGAATACACAGTAAAGTCACCTAAGTTATGACATTTGTTTAGAATAAAACGTTGTAAAAATACCATTTCAGTATAGTATATGCAGCAGGAGTCTTGAGTAAGTGGAAACTAGATTAAAAGTGTATATTTGTACACTAGAAAACCATACTGTGATTTGTTTTGCTGGTTCAATAAGAGCTTAAACAGCCCTCCAACAAAGTGAAAACCACAGATGTGTAGCGGGCCCATGGTGTTCACAGGATGAAGGGACAAACTATGACAATGGATACCATTTCTAATGTTGACACAGGATAAAACTCCAAGTCCTGTCAGTGACCTGTCAGGACTGAGAGAGGAAGGAAGAGAGACTGGCCAAAGCAAAGGTGTGGGACCAGAAGCAGTCACATACAAAAGGAAGCTGCTGTTCTTTCCTCTCATCAGTAAATGACTCTAGGAAAGAGACCTCCATTAGAGTGAGCTGTTGAAACACACAAAGAGTATTAATGTTGCAGGAGAAGCTGTATTTTAGGCGCTTTCAGAAATACTGTGTCCCTCCACCTTTTCCATTTGCTCTCCCTCTCTCTGTTTGGCTATACATACTTGTTATATTCAGACATCAGAATTGCTGGAGGGGAGTTACAACCCTATACACCTGGCTATATTCAACAGCAATTTGATTCATATGTTATGTTTCATTTGTCCTTTTTAAAAGTTTCGAACTCGCCTCATCTGTGCCGTCAACTCTGCATCTGAAAAGGCTTTCATCACATTCTCTTTCATATAAATAAATTACATTTGTGAGAGCGGTAAAATAAAACCTTTGCTATTTTAGCACACAGTGACGCACCCACCTTATAAAACTACAATGTGAGAAGTCACTGTTGAAACTTTACAGGCCTCTTTCAGTTTGGTCTATTCTTTTGACTATTCTGAGAAATGTCATTTTTGATCCAGGGAAATCCGGCGCAGTGCTTACAATTATATTTTAGGAATCTGTGTTTTATAATGTTTAAGCTTTCAACCTATGGAGATGAATTGGATATTGAATCTATCTGTGATTGTACACCATTTACAATGTGAACATCTCAGGCAAAAATGCATTCATATCTTAAACTTTTATTAATAGATTAAAACCAAAAATAGTCTGGTTTTATCTAATTTACAGATAGCACTACAGTGTCAGAATTGTTTTTTTGTTATAGTTTGATCTTGATTAGTTTTAATGTGTGTGTTAAAATACCTGTCAATATCATTTTACAAACCTCTGTTTTTGGTGGGATTATACTTTTGTTTTCGTTGAACTCATGGATAGCACCCTTATACAGTATGTATTCATGTTTTAATTTAGAAAAAATGTAACTTAACATCAGAAGATGTCTAGCACAACCACAATACACAGTCATTGTGCTCCCCAATTACAGTTAGAGATTAAACTTGAAACGTAAGCCTTTGATCTGAGTCAGTGATTAACACAGCCAGGGTTTAGTTGTCCAAATTACTGGCAGATGCTCTGCTAAGCTCTGTGGCCTCAGCAGGCAGTACGATGGGGTCTCTGGCACGGGGAGGACGGGGGGGGGGGGGGGGAGGCGCTACACCGAGCCCAATGTGGCTGTTCATATCCAGTGGCCGCCTTGAGTATCCTTTCCTGTGCCCATTACACTCCAGCCAGATAGGAACCTTATGTTCCCACTCACCTAACTCTCCTCCTAGATTTATTCAGCAGTTTTCTATTTGTCGAGGGGGCAGGGTGTAATGAAATACTAATTTTGTTTTAATTTTGTTTTGCAGCATGCTTTGGATTCCAACCTTAACAGTCTCATCAAAAGGACCACTGAGTTGGAAAGTATAATGGGCAAACTCATCCAAACCTGCCAGCATGTAGAGGTGAGCTTTGTTTATCTGTTCTCTTTCAGATGCAACTCCTTGCTTCTGCGGCATATCGTTAGCAACAAAATAAATGAATACAAAAACGTGTTCACACAGTGATGAATTACTGTTTCTCAGAGAGGCTTTTACTCATGTCAACAAGACTAAGTGCTCATGTGTCTATACAGTACAGTAGGTCAATACATTTTGTTATCTGCATGCAGTTTTAAATCAAATCTTTTCAATGTAAGTGTCGGCCCCCTTTGGATGCTAGGAGTTTTATATATGAACATCAAGTAGATATTATGAGAGTCTTTGAAAAGCATATCAAATCAAGCTATCTAAAATTGTGAACATGTGCATTGCAATAGCTGTTATCATGCATCTAATCAAATGGAGTTGCGCCAAAAAACATTGTGTCAAAGCACAAACATATCAACATATCTCTTATCTGTGCTTCTGTCCAGGTAAATGCGTCGCGACAAGAAAACAAGCTGCTGGAGGAGTGTGATGTTCTGATAAATATCGTACAGCAGCGAAGACAAATCATAGCTACCAAGATAAAGGAGGGGAAGGTACTGTTATTCACCTTTTGTGTTTTGATAACCTTTGTTTGTTTATCACCTTGTGCATGATGATAACCTTGCCTCCCCACACATCTGACAAGCTAGCATACAGCTAAACAACAGCTGATCATGTTGTCCTATAGGAATACTGCAGTATCAAATCACTGCTGTCAGGTAAAACTAACTCAAAATGATACTATTTGAGGTGTCGCTTTGAAATAATCAGTAACACATATCTCCCTAGGAATAAAAGGTTAAGTCCAAATAAAATACAATTCTGCAACTTCCGTTAAGTACATGAAAGGTTTTGCTGTTATAGCCTTACTTGGTCTGATATAAACAATAGTTTATGGTGGCTAATATTCACACACATTTATGTACACATTGTAACTGACATTTCCTTTCCATAATTTCATTAATGTTATAACTCTACTTGTGCTACTGTAAACTATATTTTGGCAGATACTTTCAATTTACAGAGCTAAGAAGCAATAGATATTCCTCAAAATGTATCCTTCAAAATCTTTGAATTAAATGTGCTGCTGTTTCTGCTTCTTGTAATTTTCCTTAAATGTTATGCCCTATGTAACTTAGGTGGAATGAAAAAACAATGCATTGAAAATCAATCTTTCTGACATCTTTTAATATTAGTTATTTCGGACTGTTGCAAAATGTCCTCAGATCTGTTAAGATAAATTCTTCTATGTGGTTTTGTGTGGTCTTTTGAAGCTAACTGCACTGAATTACCACCCTGTTAACTGCTGTTTTTCATCTCAAGTATCAGCCCTTCGCTTTGGAGTACTGCTGGCACACTGTCCATATATTTACTGTGCCTGTGCCGTGCCTCTTGAATCGTTTCCCTTCCTTTCCCATGTCAGATGCCATTAAAGAGGCAGTGGCATGCTGTGCCATGCTCAGTGTCAGAGTAAGGTCAGCCCTGCTTCCTGTGATGGCCCTCTGGAGAAGGTGGAGGAGGACCCTTTCCTTCCTCACCCCATGCCTTGTGTCAGCTTCTGAGTGTCTATGACAGTGTTATGAGGGATGTTTCATAAACACACCTTGTATGCCAGTGCAGCTTCAATAACAGGTTGAAGCTCACAGTATTGTGGATTTTACACATCTGTAAAATCGAATTGTTCACGGTGTGAATCATATTTTCCACAGGAGAATTCCCTCATTACAGAGGTAAAATCAAATCTAGCATCTGGAAGGTTTGAGCCCTGTGCATTAAGTAGTACATTTGTTGCTTATTAACAAAGTTGTTCATCTTTTAACAGGCTGTGCGTATGAGGAAACTAGCCCAGCAGATAGCCAGCTGCAAGCAGTGCATCGAGAGGTCGTCCTCCCTCATCTCTCTGGCCGACCAGACCCTCAAGGAGACGGACCACGCTCGCTTCCTCTTAACGGCTAAAAGCACCTGTGAGAGGTAAGGGAACAAAGACAGCCAGCCCGTTCAACAGCCATTACTGTACGTGTGGTGTACAAATCTGTCACCATCTAATAATATACTTCTCTATTAAAGAGTTTCCATGGCAACGGCCTCCTCTCAAATCCTGTTACCAGAAATGAACCTGAATGACACCTTTGACAGTTTTGCCCTGGACTTCACGAGGGAGAAGAAAATGCTCGAAAGCTTAGATTACCTCACAGGTGAGTGTGCAGGTTAAGCACACAATAGGATATTTTTTTTGGCACAAAGCCTATTTGTTAATGAATTGCTCACTCATGTTTTACTGCCAGATGAGGTTTCTGTTTCTTGAAACTCAATGATTTGTTGTGTTCCTTTTATCTGAACGGTGCATTAAAAAAGTATCTTCATTCATTTATAAATGTACACTTTGGCATGGATAAAATAAGGGACTTTATATTTAAATTAAATGTGTAACAAAAACTGAAAAGCGTACACATTTTAGGTTACACTAAGCTTATTTTCGGCTGAATAAAACGTGTTTGATTGTTTATGCTAAGAGCCCGTTGTGCAGCCAGAATTTAACTCTGCATGAGGGCCGTGGCTGTAATAGCTGGGGGAACTGCAACCTAGTTTAATTACACTTTTCAGAATAAAAAGACACAAATGGATTGGTGCTATTTACCACCACTGGTCTCTGCTAAATGTTGTGAGTGAGTTTTTATTGTTTTGTCGTGTGCAGCATAGAATCCAATCAGCTATTTTTACTGCTTCATAAAAAAACATTTGTCTTTTGTTTTCTGATTGCAGCACCAAATCCACCAGTAATCCGTGAGGAATTATGTACAGCCTCATACGACACGATCACAGTTCACTGGACAACAGATGATGAATTCTCTGTTGTATCATATGAACTCCAGTATGCCATCTTCACCAGCCAATCAAATGTTGTCAGTAAGTCTATATGCAGCTCTCTTCTGGGAGTGCTCTGTACCTACTGTTTGTGGTGGAAACATGACAATGATGGAGGGATTTGAAAGGGATTTCACTCAAGGACTTTAAATTGTCTGGGGCCTATGTTACAATATCCAACCATAATAGTACATTATAGCAGAGGGAAGGGAGAGCTCTGTCCAGGTGATTATGGGTAATGACGTTTACAAAAATACACTGACATTTTTGCAGTGTGGAAGGGATGTGGGGAAAAATAACTGCTGGGTTTACATCCAGATAAACATCATAAGCTCAAGCTTATCTGGGGGTTGAAATGAGCAGCACACTGATTGAACAAGGTCACAACATGTTCGATAAAGCAATTTATTCTCGTCTGCCTCAGTACTCCAGCACACTTGAATGAGTGGTAATCTGACTTTATTGGATAGTCAAAAATAAGACGTATAGATTTAAAGACTGCTCACAACTACACTGTTGTGTCCCATTGAATGAGGGAGGCTCTGAGTTTTCATTATAAATAGTTTTACTTGTCAGTGATTTTCTGCCTGTCTGCGCTCCAGGTTTGTGTAACTCTGCTGACAGCTGGATGATTGTACCAAACATCAAGCAGAATCACTACACTGTGCACGGGCTCCAGTGTGGCATCAAGTACATTTTTGTACTGAAGGCCATAAACCAGGCTGGAACCCGCAGCAGTGAACCGGGGAAACTCAAGACAAACAGTATGCGAAGAATTCCTTCCATAATTCATTTTCCATGAGAATTGTTAGGCATGTTACAAACTAGCATTTTTTCACTTTTGTATTAAGGTCAGCCATTCAAGTTGGATGCAAAGTCAGCTCACAAGAAGTTGAGGGTGTCCCATGACAACCTGACGGTGGAGAGGGACGAGACGTCTTCCAAGAAGAGCCACAGCCAGGACAAATTCTCCACCCACAGCAGCTACGGTGTCACAGGAAACGTCTTCATTGACAGCGGCCGCCATTACTGGGAAGCTCTGATAGGAGGAAGCACATGGTAAAGACATTTGCACATTTTCGACAATGCTAGTGGAGTACATTTTCTCTATTTAATTTGTACAGTCATAAGTGGTCTCAAGAGGAAGAATCCTTTTTACTTTGATTACATGGGATTTTTGCTCTAGCGCGACCACATTTCACTCAGGAATGTGAAATATGTGATGTTTTTTTTATGAAACTTAAGAGGGCCAAATAGTGAATTTTAATTAATACTAAATCTACAGTATCTATGTAGAAAGGTTGTGATGACATAGCTTCACCCTCATGTTTGTTTGTGCTAATAGGCAGATGCTATTATGCTAACACGCTAAACTAAAATGGTGAACATGGCACACCTGCTCAACATCAGAATGCACACATTGCCATTGTGAGCATTTTACAGGCTGACAATACCATTTATCTGAAAGCTCTGCAATGAATAAGTAAACCTCCCAAAGCCTATAGCATGATGCTAGTCTTGTTTATTTATTTATCGATAATGTTTAGCTTTGCAACTATATGTACATGTTTGCATGAAGTTTCACAGTGTTTTTCCATTGGGCATACAGGTTTGCAGTGGGCATTGCATATAAGTCAGCACCAAAACACGAATGGGTTGGCAAAAACTCCGCCTCTTGGGTGCTGTCTCGATGCAACAACTCGTGGGTGGTGCGTCACAACTGTAAGGAGATGCCCATCGAGCCCTCACCCCACATGCGTCGTATCGGAGTGCTGTTGGACTATGACTCTGGATCTCTGTCCTTCTACGACGCTGTCGGCTCTCAGCACTTGTATACATTTGATGTCTCCTTTGCTCAGCCGGTGTGCCCCGTGTTCAACGTGTGGAACAGGTGTTTGACGATCCTCACCGGCCTGCCCATCCCAGATCACTTAGAGGGGAAAGATTATAACCATTGATGAGACTTCTCCTGCTGGATTTTTCTTGTGTACCCAAAAATAGACCATACTGCTTGCACCTAATTGACTGTGATGCCCACGTACTGTTGATAAAATAAAAACAGTAACCAAACTTGATGCAATTAATAGCTCAGATATACATTCCTAATCAAGCCTATGTTGAAATTAACCTGAATTATTGAAGAGATTATTTACAAGCATTGTAGATGTATTTCTTTGCTTTGCACATGTACTGTTTGTACATTACACTGCTGGATGGTTTTAGGGGTTTGCTTACAGTTTGAAATTCATATTCAAATAGATTCCACGTTTGTTTTACCATGTTAAGGGATCTTGGACTATTTTGTTTCCGGAAGGTTGTTTTGTTTGCTATTTTAAATGTCATGTATTGAAAGATTTTATTAATCATAGCACTTTGAGCAGTTGTCACTATAAAATGAATTTCTAAGCCACTAATAATGCAAGTCATAATGTGAATGTTAAAAACACTTAGATCAGATAACAAAAACAGTCATTAATAACATTAATCAGTCAATTCAGCAATTTTCAAATATTTATTATCTGCTCAGCATTATGGTATAACTCATCACAATTGTTCCCGTTTTATGTTTTTCTGTGACAAGATATAATAAAAGTGACTTAATTTCATTCCGCGTGTGATTTGTAGTCCTTTTCGTATAGCATGCTCCAAATCTGTCTCAGTAAGATGATAATTGAATACGTTGTACAACCGTTGTTAACACTAATTTTTTGTATCTCTCAGTATGGCTTTAACAATCTCTCACAACACCACAGTGAAAAGAAAACAACAGCACTATAGAGAACGCTGTCAGTCTTGCTTTACAGGACTCCCACCGAACCACACTGAGCCAAAATACGCCTTTTGACAAGATTTGCTTTGACATCTCTTTTTGTTCAGGAGTAACGTGGCTTGTATTCTGTAGTATCCCCTTTCAACTAAAGTAGACAAGAGCAAAAAGAAAAAAATGAACTCTTGGTGACCTCCCCATGAGACAGCCTGCAGACAGATCTGTAATATGTGAACAGTCCCTCCTCCATGTCATGCCACCAGGTTTTTGTTGGATTCTGAGTTTACCTACTGTAAAAAATAGATACTGTAATTCTTTTTTCTCAACTCTGCATAGTTTTGATAATAATTGGTCTGAAACAAGAAACAATTATTTAAAGACCAAAGACATAATTTGTCATACAATGTTGATGTGAATAAGTTGATACAGAATCATTTGGTTGTTAAAAATGCCTTAAGACCACAGCATCAAAGTGCAAAACAAAATGGCTGTTTTATTTTTTATTATTAACATGTTTTAGATTTCAAATTCAAAATCAGCATAGATTGTAATGTGTTTGCAAACATTTCATGACTTTATATTGAAATAACAAAAAATGCTAACATGTTTCCAGTGTCTGCTTTTCATTATGACATAGAAAAACAGCCTTGTGGTAAAGAACACATCTACACAAAGAGACCTGTCTTCTTTGTTTTACCTTCTACATGCCTAAGCAAAGAGTTGGCTACCAGGCATTTATTAAACTAAGGCTCTGCATGTCGGAGGTAAGAAAAAGTGTCCTTGCTTGTGTGATTGCAACACTTAGGATAAGTCTGATCAAGTGCTTTAAATTAAATTAGTACTTTAAGAAAAGAAAACAATTTGCAGATGTAATGAGAAGAACTGATTTTAAGTATTAAAAATGAGCCACAGGGCTCCACCTGCTGGATTTGTAATTTCTTTGATAAATTATTGGGCTAGAGGCCATATCTCTCCCACCCAGAAATTCCATCTATCACATTGGTCTATTTGTCTTGTGGTGTTAGCTTTGTAATCATGATATAGTGGGCTTCAGATAAGATACATACATACAATAGATACAGTGCAGTACAGTAGAGGAACTAGATTGTGGTCCTCGGTGCAAAACATCAAGATTGAATGCTGCAACATAAATCCTGTTAAACCCTGAGCCTGTTTTTCAGGTCTCAGGCTCGAAAATTACATTCCCAGAACAAATGACCATATCTTCCCTTCTAAAAGGGTTACATTAATAATCTTTTTTGTCAAAGTAATGATAAACCTGTGAGTTGGATGTAGAAAAGTCAGAATAAATATAGATGTTTTTTATTTTAAAGAAAATTCAGATTGAACATAGTAAAAAACTGTAAATTATAGTGTCCGTCCAAAAAATATTTTGTACTTATAGTGAAAATAAACTAATCTTGGATGATGGGTTAGTAGACTAAAAGCTTTAGGAATCCAAAGTACAACATATAATAAGTACCCTGTATCAAGATTGATGCAAAACAAGTTAAATTTGACCTTTTTAGACAGATTTAGCCTCTTCTGGGGCCATTTGGGTGGATTTTCCATATCTCTGGCCCCCCCTTGCTGGATTTTGACATGTGACATATCTTTCTGACCGTCAGAGCCAATGGAATCGAGGGGAACTCACACATATAGTCCATGGGCCCATACCTGGATTTCCACTTATCGGTACCACCCAAGGTGGCAAGTTTTCGTGAAGTGTTTTCAAGTGGCATATATCTATAGATTATATTTTGGTATGATAGACATTCCAGAGTGGTAGCTTAGTCATAGAAATCAGCTATTGAATACAATGACCCGAAGCGCCAAATTCGAAAGCGTAAAATGTGGCTTGAATGTACATATAACTCAAATACCAACATGAAGTCAACAATTTAATGGCTAATGCATTGTTCTTATGGTGTTGTTTAGTTAGACAGGTCATTCTAAAGTAACTTGGACAATATTTTAGCCAAATCAAATTATTATTACTTGAAAAAAAAAAACATAAAACATGGAACTGCATAACATAGTTACATGTACATGTCTGTAGTGTCTAGCTTTGACCAGCCAACTAGACAAAGTCAACTATACTACCAGTTTTCCTCGTTGCAGCTGTCCTGATTGTATCATCTGCACGGAGCTCAGCACACTGGGTCAAAGGCTCTCTTGTCTTTAGGCCTTTCAAGTACTTGTTGGTTTTCTCACAGAAGATGCATTCTTCCTTATATACCCTTGATTGGTGTGGCGTTTGTCTGGCTGACTTTCTTGAACCTTCTGATGTAGGGTTATTGTCTTTCTTGGTGATAATAGCATCAAGGTCCTTTTTCATAGTAAAGATGCTTCTGCACTTCCTATGGTAGGTGGCAGGTGGTATGACATCATCTGGCAAGTCCTTTGCGATGTCTAAGATCGGTGCATGCTGTCTGATTTCTGCTGCTCTCAGCAGGGTTTTCCAGGAACCAATGTATTTTGGTGATACCAGGGTTGAGTCTTCATCTTGAGATGTGCAATGGATGAGGCACTCCAGGCGTGGCCGCTTTGGTGCCGTGCCGCTGGTTCCTGCCTCTGGGACTGAGTCCATTTTCAGTTAGTTGCTAGTGACAGTAGCAGTGTATGGAACCTGCAAATACACCAAAGCGACGTGGGGAGGTTATGATTATTCATGTATTATCTTATATATATAGAGTCTTTACACTTAAGTAATGCAATCAAATATACATTCTGTGTAGTACGTCTCTGTTGATAATAGTTTCATTACATGATTCATTTCTCATGTGATCACTCCGGAGCACGAGTCTGCATTCTTGCTCTATAAGAAGGCAGAAAGTTTCATTACTTTGAAATATTAACTTAATCTTAACTATACATCTTAACAAAAAATGTATGTCTACATACCGGTACATCAGACGCAGTGTCCGATAACATGTAAAATGGCAATAACATGCGGTTCCAATAACATTATCTGAAAAGCAACAAAATGAGCTTCTTCCCCAAAAATCAGAAAATATATTCCAAATAGAACATACAAAGCTTATATAATATTCATTCAGGCAAGTTTCATTACCATTTTCCACATAGCAGGGACAAACACAGAACATACCGCCAAACTTTGTAAGTGACAAAATGCGTTATTTGATCAATAATGGGGTAGTATGTAACTCTGCTAAGCTACTCAGTTGGAAAGTCTATCATGGCTTAATGTACTTATATGGACCCTATGAACAAAATGGTACCACAAATGTTTTACCACCTCGGGTGGTAGCAATATTTGGTCTGGCCCATGGACTAATAGTCCCTATTTGGTAATGTGTGTGTGTTAGACTGCCGCATATCCAAGACCGGAAGCAGCAGCCACTCTGGTGGCTACCATTAGCAGCTAACTTTTGCTCTGAGATTTTTACATAAAAATGGAATTATGGATTATAAATGAAATAATTTGTTTATACAGAGACGTTAAAAACCTATGGATTAACTGATTCAGCCGCGTTTTTTCTCGTTTTAATGCCATTGAACACGTCTTTTGATCAGATTGACAGCTACGGTGAGACGATCTCCCTAGAAGCTCCGTAAAGGTACGTGTTGTGATGTCTGTGTTTGCTTCTCCTGTCGCGAGTTCGGATCACTCAGTGATGATACTATATACTAAATAATCTGTGGAACCTCAGCTTTAATTGGATATCTTGTAAGTGCAGCTACGATAAGTAATAAGGGTACTTTTATCTTGAGTTCTGAGACTTGTGAGACCGCCGGCGGGGACCTTGGGGTTTAACATCCAGTGATATATGAGGCATATTATACACTCAAGGGAACTGAAGATACAATTGCTTCTTGGTCAGGAATAAGACTAATGTGAAGTGAATCACTTATTAAGACACTTATATGGAGTTTTAATAAATAATTATTAAATAATATTACAACACACATTTTACATCGTTTATCTATCTTTTATTAATGTATTAAAATATAACCCTGCTAAATTATTTCATTTATGGACGGTTTATTATAAAGTGACTTATTTGATTTGAATGTTGTAATACAACACACGTTTAACAGTTAACATACTTACAGAACAAATGAAAACAATAGACACAACAAAACACATGTAAATATCAAGACAAAATGAAATAAAATAAAACAAACACATATGTATAGGCTATGTATGTTATATGCATATACACGTGAAGAAAGGCACAGTACTTTTTCAAGTTTTTTGAGAGGATTTAACAGTATTACTACATTTAGCATAGATGTTTGAGTTAGTCATGATAAAAGTTGCAGTAAATACATTTTATAGTATAAAAATAATATGAATAGATAAATCAATTATTTTTGGAACATTTCTCCAGAAAAAAACAACAGTAGGCCTACAAGGGGTAGGCTACACATTTGGAAAATGACAAAATATTCTGCATTTATGAGAAATAATTTGTTTGTTAAAATATGTTACATATTGAAAGTGGAAAATGTATATTACTATATTAGTAGATTTTTTTATTCCGTCCTCTAATAACATCATACCTAATATTCAAAGTGAGTTCCAAACGGGTTAAATCTATTAAAGGGGGTTGTCTTTTTACGAATACAATATTCAGCTAAAGAATTGTTCAAAAATAATCATACAAGCTCGATCTATAGTTTTGAGATGATATTAAATTCCCAGTCGCTACATGACATCGGGCACCTTACCAAGCCCCGCCCCCTCCCGGAACAGGAAGTACCTGATCGCTGCTGCTGACGTTGTTGCTGTACGAAGTGACGATGGCGTCCACAGATCAGTCCCTCTTGGATTTAACAGAAAAAGACACCCGGGAGAAACTGTCATTATGGGATCGACGGACCGATGCCATGGCTCCCCTCACGGAGAAACAAATGGACGCTGTCCTGGAGATCCGAGCCGCCGCAGAAACGCTCTCTGTCCCGGCAGAGGTAAGTGTGACTCCTGAGCCAGCTAGCATGCTAACAGAGGTTGCTAACTTACTTTCTTAAAGTCAGTGAGGTTAAATGACACCAGAAGTTGCCTCTTTGTGAATTTAGCTCAGCTCTGTGCCATGTAAACATGATGTTACCCTTCATATATCACGGGATGTTAGCTTGTGGGCTAACTAGCATGCTTACTCCGCCACGTCAAGCCACCCAGCTAGCTTCATGAGGAGGCAGCTTGGGTAGGTTTAAAAACAGAGAGCTTTGCTTTGTTTTGCAGCTTCCCATCGAGGATTTGTGCAGCCTCTCGTCGCGGTCCTTGCAGTCCCCCTTCACAGCGACTATTCCCCAGTCAACAGAGGACGTCCTGCTCAAGGGTTTCCAGATGCTGGACATGGAGAATGACAGGATAGACACTGCACAACAGGTGACTGTCATTGCCAGCAGGAAGCAGTACTGTTGAGAGTCAGACATACACGATCACAGTAAGATACATGTTGCTAATACAGTGCCAATTTGTGTGTTGCAGTTTTTTTCTTGGTTTGCCAAGTTACAGGCAAACATGGACCAGGATGAGAACGCAAAATACAGGTGAATAAAAGTGCTTTACCCTTTCTACAGTGTTCTGAATGTATTTACTGTACATGTGTTTAGGGGAGGACTGTTTTAACAACACTTCTTGAAAGGATTATGCAGAACCAACTCACTTGCACAAGGCAAAACTGTGTTCTTTACTATTAATATAAGTATTTCATGTCAAGCAAACTCAATGCTCTACATTGGAATGCCGCGAAGGCTAGCTTGACATAATTCAATGACAAAAATATCTACAGACATATTCATTTTGTTTTAAGAAAGTTGCACGAGGTGTGTCAAATCTCAGGGCATCAGATTACGATCAAATTAACAAAATCCATAAATAATCTGCTACTATGCTGCCCTATTGGTTATACTCTTACTCTGCATTGCCGGCCACACCTACATTGTTGACAACAAAGCCAGTATTTTGCCTTTGACAGCTAGTGAAACACTTTCAACAACAGTACATCAACTTTTCTGTTAATACTTGTATCTAAATGCTTTGCAAACAAGAAGCATGCCTCACTTCATCATTGTTTTCTATTTGTAAGCGCAACAATAATAATTCTGCTTCACCTTCAGGAAAACAAGAGATGATCTAAACTGCTACCAGGAACAATGCGATGCTATTCTGAAAGATGTGAGTGCCGCCCTGGAGCACTTGGACTCTCTTCAGAAACAGTATCTGTTTGTGTCCAATAAGACTGGCACCCTGCACGAAGCCTGTGAACAGCTCCTGAAAGAGCAGGTAAGCTGCACACTGCTCTCTAAAAGCCACGCAGCAGATTCCTAAAAGCTATAATAGGTTTCAATTCTAATTTCACTGAATGTATTTTTCCTGAAATACAGCACATGCTGGGTATTTAGTCAAAGTCAACTTTATTATCAATCTTTCAGTTTGTGTGTACAGACCATGGTACAGACAGAGAGATCGAAATACCGTTTCCCACGATCCCGAATACAAAAATACAAATATATATATATATATATAACAATATGTATAAAATATGTATATCCTATATACACAATCAACAGATACATTTATACATATGCACACATTAAAGGTGGGGTAGGTAATTCACTTCAGAAACACTTTTTGTTATATTCCATGGAATGCTCTTAACATCCCAATGAATACATTAAATGCTTTGACAATAAATACATAAACAAATTTCATCTGTGGAAGCCGTGGCGCTGTAAAAAGCACGACCAATCATCTGAGCCGGCCCGGCTAAAGTAACTGGATGGCCTACCTGCCTGTCAGCCTTCCATCTGTGCACAAACTTATCTCGTGCCCTCATTGGTCATGTGCGCGTTCGTGTGTGTTGGAGGAGGGGCTCTGTAAGGAAGTCTGAAGGAAGGGGCAGATTTTTTTCGGCTTCGTACTTTCAAATTCTAGCGCACTCAAGCTGGTTTCTCCATTCTTACCTACCCTACCTTTAAGATAAAAACACAACAATCAATATATACAAAATAACAGTCACTTCAATATCTTTGGGAATATTCATTAGTGCAAGATTGTCCATAGCAGTGGTTCCCAACCTGGGGGGCGCGCCCCCCTTGGGAGGGCGCCAACGATCGCAGGGGGGGGAACCAGGCCTCAGATGATTTAAGGCCAAATATCATTTATTTTTTTACATATAATTGTAGCGCAATAAATGATTGTCACTAAAAGCCTTGTCTCTATATTACAATAAAACATTATTTATTAATTAATTTGAAGAAAAATTCAAGTTAGTAGCTATTATAGGCATATAAAGACAGAAATGTATAATTCTTTCTTTTAGGGGTGCACCGAATGGGAAATTCTTGGCCGAAACCGATACCGAAAATAGGAAACAGTTGGCCGAAAACCGAATGCCGAAAGGCCGAAAATGATTAATAGAAATATATATATATATATATACATACATTGGTAAAAAATGTATACATTATATATATAATGTATACATTTTTTACCAATGTTGTTCAGCTACCTGATTATGGAAATAGACATGATTATGGCAACACTTAACTTAAATAATAATCACTATTATGGGTCCATAAAACATTTATTCAGCACTTTTGAATGCATACAGTACATTTATATATGTCATGTATTATTGCTAAAAAACATTATATCGCAGTCTTAGTGTCGCCAACTCGTTTCTAATATGCAAAGACAACAAATGCGTCTATGATGTATTTTCGATCAGACGAGATCTCCCCCGTCTGTGTGCGAGGGGGCGGGGCAGTTTACACACACGCAGCTGCTACATGCAGCGGAGCACACTGCGGAGATGGCGGAGAGAACGCGCTCCGAGGTGTGGTTAAACTTTACCCGTCTCGATGTGGAAAATACTCAGGGCCGGACTGGGACAATAAGTCAGGCCGGGAATTATACACCCAACCAGGCCACTACCAGTTTTATTTTGTGTAATTTTCCTGGATTTATTTGTCAATATTTACAGCGTTGCTGCCCATAGTGAAACTTTAAAACTACCCCAGAATAAACATATGGACATGGGTTACTATTTTTTTTTTAAAGTGCAAATCTATTTAGGAACCTATCCATGTGAACATATTTTAAGTGGAGGTGGACCTCAAATCCTATAGGGGGGTCCGGGGGCATGCGGAAGATTTTTTTTTTTTTAAATGTTGGACTTAAATGCATCAATCTGGTGCACTTTGAGGGGGAAATAAAGAGACTACTACACCCATATGAAACATAACTGTATACATTTAAATAATCATAAGAACATGGCCATAACCAATAACATACCATATCCAATATGGAAAAACATTGAAACTTGTTTATTTATTTGTTTTTGGTTCATTTATAGTTAGCATGGCATAGTGTGTCTGTGCTCCTGAACCAGCCTCACCCGTCTCCTCCCTGCTCCTCTTTGAGGCAGCAGCAAAGACTAGTTTTAGCTCTCAACAAGTTTTTAAAGTTTATCTTGCCTTTTTTCACCTAGTTAACTTTTTTTTTTGTATTATTCATCTATATTTTACTAATCACTCCCCCTTCAAATGGAAATATGTGTTTACATAAATGGTGACCAAACCGTTTGAGACCCACAGTGAACTTAGACTAAGTTAACTATCTAAACACTCTAAAGTCCTTTACCTCACCTGAGCTGTAGTTATCAGCCTCTCAGTCTGACAGCAGAGGACTCTCCTCCACCTTGTTGACAGCTCATTCCGTTAGCGCCGCTAGCTAGCACCGGATGCTAACAACAACAATACACGTAACCAGTGCACGCGCTTTCTCTCTCGCTTGCTCGCGCCACACACACACACACACCCTCCCGAGCTTGAATGACACGAGACCAATCGAGGGCATTAGTGTATGATCTGTATGAAAGTGGCCATGTCGGCAGGCCACATCATGTAGACAGCCAGTCACCCTCTGTGAGGCAGAGTCAGACCCACATTTGCGCAGCGTTGCGTTCACAATACATAAAAAAAATTCCTCAGGCCAGCAGGCCACTTAACAGGCCAGGCCATCGGGAAACCTCCCGGTCCTCCCGATGGCCAGTCCGGGCCTGAGAATACTTGTTACCATAAGTGCAATAAGAGTTTAGCATGTAAGCACGAGCAATTTGTCTAAACATTTAGCAAAAGTGCACCGCATGCAGACGGAGGAATGTACCGGGTTCGACCGTCTTTCTAGCAGCTCTGTAGCCCCATCCACGAGTAACGTTTCCACGTCAGGTGTTATGTATGCTAGCAGCAACACACGGAGTTAACTACATTATACAAACATGGGTTAATGATTAGAGGAAACTGAGTTATTTAGTTTGTTAAAATTTCAGCTATTCTGTTTACAGTCTGTCATCAGATTATTTAATACGATTTGTTAAAGGCTCAAGGCAATCTCGATGACAAAGGTCAATGTTCCCCCCCCTGTGAGCCAGCCGCGAGCATGGTCGCCGCGTCTTTATTACGTCATCACAACAACACGTTAGGTTACCAACGTAAGCCTGTTCTGACATTCGGTGATATTTTTTCGGTGCTAAAACCCTTTCGGCCGAAAGCCGAAAGGGCCTTTTTAACCATTTTCGGCCGATAATTTTCGGTGGCCGAATATTCGGTGCATCCCTACTTTCTTTAATATAAATGTTTCTTCTGCCCGTAAAGTGTCCAAACCAGGCTTTTCTGGATAAGCGCATTTTTAAAACATAGTCATTGTCCATGCCGGTTTCAGTTGGATTATTTGTCACAGTTGCTCCGATCAGATCGGTCTCCTCCATTTTGTAGATTATTTACGACTTTTGAATCCACATAAACACATCGGCAAAATCCGGTTTACTTTGAGCATGTGTTTTAAACAGTTTATCTCTTTGTGAATTGTTTCCACTTGTGCCGTCTTTTAATTTCTTCATCCAGCGGGAATCCAAATGAATTAATCCTGAGTCCAATAACCATCAAAGTCACTCCAATAGTGCTCCTTAATTACGCTTTCATCCTCCTTTAACAAAATACTTCACATTCACCCAGTTTGTGACAGTAGTTGTAGCTTTTTTGAGACTTTTAAACTTTAATTACCGCTGCTGCACCCGGGCGCAACTTCCAACAGGAGTCATTTGGGGGGGCTCTTGGGAAAAAAGGTTGGGAACCCCTGGTCCATAGCAGCATATTATTTGAAAACATAAAATCACTCCAAACCAAGAAACTTCAGAATTAGCTTTCTCAATGATTTGGACTATGGAGCTGTTCGCAATCATGTAAAAACGACTATGATAACACTCAAAGTAGTCATTGGAGATGACCCAGGAATGCAGTACACTATCTGGTTCAGACAGCGTGACATAGTTGTAAGCTTGTCTGAATATAAGATAGCTGGCAAGCATTTTACAGCTCCAAAAACCTGAGCTGCTCATTCTTTCTGTGGCATATTTCATTTCTTATCGGAGCTGCAGTATTCAGTTTCTTCCCACAAACAGCTGCTTATGTTCACAAATGTATGTCGATTGGACCACTGGAAGAGCTTGAGCTGAAATGAAACTGTCATTTTGTTTTGTGTAAACTGTGGTTTGTTGTTTACTCTCTTTGCAGTCAGAACTTGTCGACCTGGCGGAAAGCATACAGCAGAAACTCTCATACTTTAATGAGTTAGAAAACATAAACACGGTATGCTGCTTTTTGTGTTTTTATTTGACATTTTGTAACATTTGGTAAAAACATGTATGCATTGTAGATGATGTACATAACAAGTAATGATTACATGTTAACCAAATTATTATTATTAAAGATCAGCAGTTGTTTCCCCACATTAAAAACATTGTTTTGGATGTCAACTACATATCTTATGTTATTTTTTCTAAAATGTTTAATTACTTTATAAATACTTTGGCTTGAGCTTAAAAACTCATGAAATTACACATTTTGATTATAGTTTTTGAAGTTTATAATTGTAACTGTTTGTAATTTCGTTAAAACTCGATATTTCTTTGTCTTTTTGCAGAAACTGAACTCACCAACATTGTCTGTAAATAATGAAGGCTTTATACCAATGCTGTCCAAATTGGATGACTGCATTGAATATGTTTCTTCAAATGTAAGTAGCTTGACAACATTCCTATTCTGCTTTTACAAATCTCATTTAAATACCAGCAATGTAATAATCAGCTACTAAATATATGTTCTTAAAAAAGTGCAGTAATTATTTTTCAAATGCCTTCTGTGTAATTAATGCATTATTTATATACAGTGGGGCAAACAAGTATTTAGTCAGCCACCAATTGTGCAAGTTCTCCCACTTAAAAAGATGAGAGAGGCCTGTAATTTTCATCCTAGGTACACTTCAACTATGAGAGACAGAATGGGGGGAAAGAATCCAGGAAATCACATTGTAGGATTTTTAATGAATTAATTGGTAAATTCCTCGGTAAAATAAGTATTTGGTCACCTACAAACAAACAAGACTTCTGGCTCTCACAGACCTGTAACTTCTTCTTTAAGAGCCTCCTCTGTCCTCCACTTGTTAACTGTATTAATGGCACCTCTTTGAACTCGTTATCAGTATAAAAGACACCTGTCCACAACCTCAAACAGTCACACTCCAAACTCCACTATGGCCAAGACCAAAGAGCTGTCAAAGGACACCAGAAACAAAATTGTAGACCTGCACCAGGCTGGGAAGACTGAATCTGCAATAGGTAAGCAGCTTGGTGTGAAGAAATCAACTGTGGGAGCAATTATTAGAAAATGGAAGACATACAAGACCACTGATAATCTCCCTCGATCTGGGGCTCCACGCAAGATCTCACCCCGTGGGGTCAAAATGATCACAAGAACGGTGAGCAAAAATCCCAGAACCACACGGGGGGACCTAGTCAATGACCTGCAGAGAGCTGGGACCAAAGTAACAAAGGCTACCATCAGTAACACACTACGCCGCCAGGGACTCAAATCCTGCAGTGCCAGACGTGTCCCCCTGCTTAAGCCAGTACATGTCCAGGCCCGTCTGAAGTTTGCTAGAGAGCATTTAGATAATCCAGAAGAGGATTGGGAGAATGTCATATGGTCAGATGAAACCAAAATAGAACTTTTTGGTAAAAACTCAACTAGACGTGTTTGGAGGAGAAAGAATGCTGAGTTGCTGCATCCAAAGAACACCATACCTACTGTGAAACATGGGGGTGGAAACATCATGCTTTGGGGCTGTTTTTCTGCAAAGGGACCAGGACGACTGATCCGTGTAAAGGAAAGAATGAATGGGGCCATGTATCGTGACATTTTGAGTGACAACCTCCTTCCATCAGCAAGGGCATTGAAGATGAAACGTGGCTGGGTCTTTCAGCATGACAATGATCCCAAACACACCGCCCGGGCAACGAAGGAGTGGCTTCGTAAGAAGCCTTTCAAGGTCCTGGAGTGGCCTAGCCAGTCTCCAGATCTCAACCCCATAGAAAATCTTTGGAGGGAGTTGAAAGTCCGTGTTGCCTAGCGACAGCCCCAGAACATCACTGCTGATTGATTGATTGAAAAGTTTATTAACAGCTTGTATATTGGGTACAGTACAGTACAGCTCAAAACATACAATTGTTAAGGGGATGCAGACCAGAGAAAGACTTTCGTCTTGTTTACATCAGGGTCCCCCATTTCCAATTCATCATATAATTTAAGACATATAAGACATATTTGACATACAGATGGCTTATTTACAATTTACATACAGGTGGTTTTTTACATACAGATTGCTTATTTACAATTTTCATTTTAGATTTTGTTCTAATACATCCTAACCGGACATTTAAGACATACCAAGTCTACAGATATACAGTTAGTAACAGAGTCTAAAATGCGAGTATATACATAGATGGGGGGGGGGGGGGGGGGTGGGAAGCTGTCCATCCATTGAACGACAGGTTGAGATTTGTACCATTACCGGGGCCAGTTTTGCAATGCTCTCCCCCGAAGGTGCTCTTTAAGAGAGGTTTTGAAGGTAAGTGTAGTTTTACTTTCCTTTACAGTTGTGGGAAGAGCGTTCCACCTTGATGTGGCATAATTGCGAAACGTGTATTCCCCCTTTTTTGTGCCAAATCTGGGTTTCACATGATTTGTGGAGCTCCCTCTGGTGTTATGATCATGGTATTCCTTGACCTTTGGGAAGAATTTTGACATGTACATGGGTACCATAGAGGTGTAGTGGATCTTGTAGACCAGGCCCATTGCAAGTAGCTGTACTCTGTCATCTACTCTAAGCCATCCTAGGTTGTCAAAGTGGGCAGAGGTGAGGTGGGTTCTAGATGAAAGGTCAAGCAGTAGTCTGACCAGTTTATTTTGCGATGTTTGAAGTTTTATTTTTAGCGCCTTGGAGGTGCTATGGTACCATGACGTGCAAGCATAGTCATAGTACCCTTGAATGAGTGCTCCTGCCAGAGTTTTCAGGGTGTTTTTGTTTACCAGAGAGGAGATCCGGTATAGGAATCTAGTTCTTTGATTGACTTTTTTTATTACATTGGATGCCATTTTGTCACAGGAGAGGTTTGCCTCAAGAATAGATCCTAGGTATGTAATTTCCTTCTTACTTGTGACAATAATGTCGCCCACTGCAACTGAGAAGTCGTCGGATTTGCTGAGATTATGTTTCGAACCGAAGAGAATGGACTCTGTTTTACCCAGGTGTAATGATAATTTATTATCGGCGAGCCAGGTGCAGATTCTGCCGAGCTCGGAGCTGAGGGTTTTTTCAACCTGCAACCTGTTCCTGCCAGAGACCAGCAGGGCTGAGTCGTCCGCGAACAGGAACAAGTTGCAGTCACAAGCTGATGACATGTCATTTACATAAATTAGGAACAGTAACGGACCTAATATGCTTCCTTGTGGAACACCACAGCTCACTGGGGGGGGGGGGGGGGGGACAGAGTACCGTTTACCTCCACCATCTGTTCTCTCCCCTCCAGGTAGGATTGCATCCAGCTCACCGATAGTTTATCAAAACCAATTGCTTTTAGCTTGTCAATCAGAATGGGGTGATTGACAGTGTCGAAAGCCTTTTGTAGGTCCAGCATCACCATGCCGCAGTACTTGCCCTCGTCCACCTCTTGTTTGATGTGGTCGCTCAAATAAAGAAGGCATGTGTCAGTGGAGTGGGATGTTCTAAAGCCAGATTGAAATTCATAGATTAGTTTCTTTTCCGCGAGGTACTTTTCGACCTGTTCATATACTATTTTTTCTTGGTGGTGGTGGTGGGGGGAGGGAGGCTCCGTTGTAGCTTTAGCCGTTGATATGCTAGCAGGGTGGCTAACAACATGGCGGATATTTGTTCCCTCGGATCTCGGTTCTCTTCCTCTCGTCACTGCCTCATGCGTGTCTGTCTGCCGAGGCGTCCCCGGGGGAATCTCGAAGTCTCCGTTTATTCCTTGGTCTCCGCTGTCTCCACGGTCTCTGTTGTCGTCGCGTAGTTGATGTTGCAGCGGAAGAGGTGCTAGTTCTGATGCTAATTGAGATGCTAGCTGCTCGAGCCTGCAGGACTGGCTTCTTGTCTGCACCGGGCCCGGATTCAGATGGATGTCTCCCGCTAACAATAAGACCAAGACGATCATACTTCTTCGGTCTAGTTTGCCTGACGGGGGTAAGTACTTTCGCGTCGGATTTGCAGTTAATAATGCATGAATGCTTGCACTTTCAAAAGCGAGGTGTTTCCTTTCCCAGCCGTTGAGAAGGTAAAAGTCATTGTGGTTCATTTTATCCCCGCTTTCATTACTCTCCTTCTCTAAGTGATGTTGTCTTATTGATGAGTTGAGGTAGGAGTCCATAATCCATATTGTCAGGAGGATGAAATATGTAAAAAATCGTGAGGAATAACCGCCAAAGCGGGAGCTCTCGAAAATGCGACCACTCATAGTGAAACCGGATGTTCGATCCCTGCTGAGATCTGCATGGAGGAATGGGCCAAAATACCAGCAACAGTGTATGAAAACCTTGTGAAGACTTACAGAAAACGTTTGACCTCTGTCATTGCCAACAAAGGGTATATAACAAAGTATTGAGATTAACTTTTCTTAATGACCAAATACTTATTTTCCACCATAATTTGCAAATACATTCTTTAAAGATCAGACAATATGATTTTCTGGATTTTTTTTTTTCTTCTCATTTTGTCTCATAGTTGAAGTGTACCTAGGATGAAAATTACAGGCCTCTCATCTTTTTAAGTGGGAGAACTTGCACAATTGGTGGCTGACTAAATATTGTTTTGCCCCACTGTAAGTGGAACATGTAAATCAAGTCACTGACAACACATTGTTTACTTAGCATAACTATATGACTCATGCATCGCAATCTACGGTATGTGATCACAATAACAGCCGTCTAACAGTTGTTTATCTCTGTTCATGCAGCCCAACTTCAAGGACTATCCGGTTTATTTGGCCAAGTTTAAACAATGTCTTTCTAAAGCTATGCACTTCATGAAGATCCACATTGTAAACACTATGCAGAATCTCACAAGCCAGTTAACCAAAAGGGTACGTTTCCTTCTCCTACAAAGTCAAAAATAAGAGTCATTCATACCATAAGTGGATAGTCTAATGTCAACACTTGATATTATATTTCTCTCCCCCAGGACTCAATGGGCTTGACCAACGCAGACAGTGCCTTTACTCTTTACTATGTTAGGTATAGAGCAGCTGCACCAAAAGTCAGGGTAAGTTGTTTTTTCCACTGAACTTCCACATATCATTTTGTCTGTAATAAAACATTGATTGATGCTTTTTTCTTCTTTCAGTCTCTGATTGAACAGATAGAACAACGGGCAGAGAAGATCCCAGAGTGAGTGGTAGCATCTCTCCAGAATAAACGGGCATTATTCCGGTTGTATATTTGTTTTTGGTGCCAAATCGACCCATCTTTCCTTTATATTGATGTGGACAGATACCATCAGCTCCTAGATGAAATCCACCAGTGCTACCTGGACCAGAGAGACCTGCTCCTCAGTCCCAGCATTACATCCACCATTACTGACCTGACCAAGCAAAACAGCAAAGACCACTGCGCTCTGGTAAGGCATGACTGGTTCAAAGCACGACTGATCTTTATGTGATATGAAGGTAACATTTGAGCTTGCAAAAAAAAGGCACACTATGCTCCCTCAGGAATGTTTTCTTGGATTGTGTGGTGCATATATAGCTGTGCACATGATACATTGCACAGCAGGCACCCAAATCTTACTCCTAATTTGTTGAATTAATGTGCAGAGTGTTGTTTGTAATACCTCATCTATAAAGCAGTGGCAGTTCCTTAACTGTTCAAACATGTCACTGACCTCTAGTAAGCACACCGCTGTAGTTTGAGGTTCAATCTTTGAATTGTAACTCATAATTTAAAGATCATTTTGGCAGCAGACGTATGTGTTTTGACGCTGCTGTGGCATTTCAAACTTTTCACTAATTGGCTTGATGGGGATGCTATAATTTAAAGGTCAGAATTTCATACAACGAAGTCATAATAGCGGCACCACCTGTCCGGGATATTCCTTTTGATGATACTTGAAAGGTTACGCATCTTGTTAATCATTGCTGTAATGTGAGCCTGCATTATTTATGTGATAGGATTTCGCTTGCTTGTTTGAAGTGGAGCCCCAGTATCGGGAGTCACTGCAGTAAGCGATCATTTTGTGTGTTTGTACAGGTTCGCAGTGGCTGTGCCTTTATGGTTCACGTCTGCCAGGACGAACACCAACTGTACAACGAGTTCTTCTCTAAGCCTACACCTGCACTGGAGTGAGTACCTCCCGCCTCTTTGGTTCCATGATAAGTGAACACACACAGAGCGAGCCATTGTTTTGCATCACGCATGCAGGCAGGACTTGTTGGTTTAAGGCGTGACAATTCAAAATGCGTGAACGCCATTTCAAGTTTGGCTTGATATGATAAGCGCTTGAATAACAATTTACACAGCATGGGTAGACGATCTGTATTTCCATTTATGGGTAAACGATTTAACAGTTTGCGTAATTATTTCTTTATTCCTTAACTTGAAGAGAAAGTCTGAGCATGAAATGAGCAGGAAGTGTAATTTTAGACTCCTCTCAGCTGTACAAAGCAATTAAATGTCGTTCAATGTCTGACAGCGAGCTGCTGGAGAAGTTATGTCTGTCCCTGTATGATGTCCTGCGGCCTCTCATCATCCACATCATCCACCTGGAAACCCTGTCTGAGCTCTGCAGTATCCTCAAGAATGAGATGCTTGAAGACCATGTTCATAACAACGGTAGGTCGGAGCTTTTGTTCTCCTCAAAGCATCTCACTTGTCACACAGGGGGGGGTAATTTCTGAGTTACAGGGATAGAGCTCGGCTGGAGTCTGTGGACTGAAAGATTAGCGAAGAAAAGTTTGGGCAATCTCAACTTTTTAATAAAATGATTTTTTTCCCTGGAATCGTCATTATGTAAAATGTGTGCAAACATTAAAGTGCTTGATGGATTAAACACATTTTTATAAGATGAATTTCTCGGGTGTTTTTTCCTTTTTTTGACAGAACACAGTACTCACTTTTAGAAATGAAGGAGAGAGAGAGGGAGGTTTATGACTCAACAAATGTCCCAGGGTCCTAATCAAATCTGGGAGGTTACGTCTGTATGGTAGCACTGTAACCAGAGTCCCTGTGATACACACTTTTAATAAGTAAGCTTTAGAGGCCCTAATAGGCTGATATTGTGCCAGGTTAGCTTTTTCCTCAGTTTCCAGTCTTTGGTCTAAGCTAAATTAGACGGCTGCTTTCAGTACTTAAATATTTAATGTAAAGACTTCAGAGCCGTAGCGAACACAAGCTCCAGTGAAAGTAAACACTCTTCTACTTTTTTTTTTTTAAACAAAGACTTCCTGGGGCAGTACCTTGCTTTCTGATTTCCCATCACATCACAGACCCTCGTATAACTTTAATCTGATGTTTTAAAGGACTAAAAGACACATTTGTAGTGATATTAAAGTGGGTTCAACTGTAAAGTGACCTGTCACCTCTTTTATGTAGCCTCTCAGCTGGGATCCTTTGATGGATTAGTGAAGCAGATGCTGGAGGATGTCCAGGAGAGGCTGGTGTACCGGACCCACATTTATATCCAGACTGATATCACCGGCTACAACCCGGCTCCGGGGGATCTGGCCTACCCCGACAAACTGGAGATGATGGAGGTGAGTCTGTTGCGCTTTGAAGGGATGTTGTTTTGTAGAATCTTTAGAAACAAAACCTCCATTAATTTTAATCAGTTTAGCTTATACTCCACCGGCTTAACGCAGCATGGATTTAATTATGGCTGCGACTTCTAAATATTTTAATTAGTTGTTAATATATGCAGTATTTTTGGGTTGATCGTGTTGTTTATGAAATGCGAAAATCAGGGAATAATGCCTGTGAAAAGTTCCCAGAGCCTAAGATTATTTTAATTTGTATCCCTTGTTGCATTGTAAGCGCTTTGAGCACCAGACTTTGAGCACCAGGAAAAGTGCTATATACATTTAATGTATTATTATTATTGGCTAAATGTTTTACGTTGAATTTACTGTAAATGTGAGTTTTATAAGGCTTGGGAATGTCTGCACATATAAATAAATATGCAAATATTTCTGTCATTGTTGTCATAGCAACGTTTTATTTTACTCGATGTATGTTAAGAAAGGAAAAAAAACAACTTTACCAACAACAACATGTTTTACCAAATGATAATGCATTGTGCAGATGAAGGGCCTTAAAGTCTTTAGTCTTGTGAATATCTGTACTTGTTATTTAATATCTTCCAAACCCGTATTTAACATCTCTTAACATGTCTTATATTGGCACAGTTTTCCTTATTTGGAACCACCAGGATTCCCATGATACTTCTTGTTGTTTATCTGGCTTTCTGTCCTTCCAAATCATCGTTTCTGCTGCTAGAATTGTTGTATTTTAACTTTAAAACTTTTTGATAGAAAAGGAAGAATCTAACACTTTTTATCTTTTTAAATCATGTTTTTCCCTTTCTGTCACCCAATAGAGAATAGCTCAGAGCTTGAAGGAAGAGCAGATGAAGCAGATGTCACAAGAGGCCATGTTTTCTGATGTTCAGCTTGAGAGTCCTGATGGCAGAAGAAACAGTAATGCTGGTCCGTTTTTTCAGACTGTGACCCTCGCTTTTTATACATTCTACAACAATTGGTGTTATTGTTGCCTGCACTTCATCCTTTTGTTCCATGAATGCAGGGAATGTCGAAGCATCGCGCCTGCAGTCATCTATCTCTCCTGCTGATCTGCACGGCATGTGGTACCCCACTGTCAGGCGAACGCTGGTCTGTCTGTCCAAGCTCTACAGATGTATAGATGTGAGTCATCTTTCTTTTTCGTTGCTGATTTATAGTGTTCTATCCTAAAATATGGCAGGATTTTTGGTATATGTTTTAGTTTGTATTTCTTATTCCTGAGTTTCTGTCTGTGATTGGTCTTTTTCCAGAGAGCAGTCTTCCAGGGTTTATCTCAAGAAGCCTTATCTGCCTGCATCCAGTCGCTGCTTAAAGCTTCAGATATCATCCTTAAAAACAAGGTTGGCACACATTCTTAAGAGTACAGTGTGGTTTTGCATTTTTACTGAACTTTTCAGATTGTTATAATTCTAAAAATAACTAGAAATGTGCTTTTCTTTTGACGTTGAAATTAATACGATCAGTTCCCTCTTAAGATAAAATGTGCTCTGTTATTAAAATTCCTTCTGGCTGCAGACTCCTTAACTAAAGCAGCTGGGATGTCATTTAAAGTTTATTTTAATGGAGCTTTATTATGCTCTACAGAGTATTCAGCAGACCATCTTTTATTTATGGGATTCTCTCACCTTCACATTTGCTGTCTCTCTGTGCTAACTGGCCCGTTTCAACCTAACACTTCAAATTAAAGCGGCAACATCAATCTCAGAGGATGTTTTCCTACCCCATGTTGATGATGTCTTACTCCAATGTTTTAACTGACCAATTAATGATTCAACTGCCTTTTCCATCACAGTGATATGTCCCTTTCTAGCTATTGTTATCATTAGACATATTCCCTTATCGTCTCTGAGATGGTGCTTTTAGTTTTTCTGTGTAGCTTGGATAGTCGGCAGATGCCCTTTTGTGTTGGCAGCCTGCAGTGTGGATTTAACACTGTGCTATCACTTTCTGTAGACGCAAATAGATGGGCAACTTTTCCTGATCAAGCACCTGCTGATAGTGCGTGAACAGATTGCCCCGTTTCACACCGATTTTGCCATCAAGGAAATCTCACTGGACCTGAAGAAAACGCGAGGTAAGATAATTAAAGATGGCGGAAACATTGGTGTTCATCTCCATAAAGCTAGTCATTACATTCTCATGCTCATTAAGCAACTTGTGCCTATCACATGCACCAGTGGCAACAATTAATGTGGAAAGTACAGTGCAATCCAACACCATAATAAACATTAACCGATGGCTCACAGGGCACATCCGCTCCTCGTATCACCCTCATCTCAGTCAAGGTCATATTAGATTTGGAGCACTAGAGGGCACTCTAATGCTACACCAGCCCTGATTTAATCTCTTTGCTTTATGTGAAGATGCTGCCTTCAAAATCCTCAACCCTAAGGCTGTTCCCAAATTCTTCAGATTTAACAGTCACAACGCCATACTTGAATTCCTGCTGGAGGTAGTGTTTTTATTTTTTTCTTCCATTTTATTTAACCTACCATAAACATAATGTACTTTGATAGCACCGTGCCTTAGGGATTCTCCGCTTGACAGTGCTAACGCCTCCGTCTGTGTGGCCTTCAGGGAACGCCAGAGATAAAGGAGCACTACATTGACTCCAAGAAGGATGTGGACCGACACCTGAAGTTCAGCTGTGAGCAGTTCATCCAGCAGCAGACTCAGATCTTTGTGGGGAACCTTGAGGAGTTCCTTACCAAGGTAACAGTTGGAGCACTTAGAAGGCAGACTTAGCCTCAGGCAGCCAAAGCTCATCCTGACCTTCATGCATTAGTTTTCACCTTAAAAACCTTTTTTTGAAAAAAGTGAAATTCACATTTACTCTTCACTGAAGGTCTCATAGCGTTCTTGCAAACTCGAGACAACATTGCTGTTTTTCATCCAGGATATTTAATTATAATGCTAGTTATTACTGTGTGTAAATATGCATGTGTTTTCAATAATGTATTGTGCTCTGGAATCTTTCTATGCAGTATTTGTGCTGCAATTATTGGTTGCTTTATTGCTTCCACCCACTCTTATCTATTATTATTTAAGTAAATACAGCTCTTTGTCTGAATTGAATTGAAGTTGCCAGAATGGAATCCCAGCTTGTTGTGCTTGTTTGTATAGCTTATAGCAGCACCAGTACAAATTAAGTCTTTTCAAATTGTTATATTTTGGCTGTGTGTGCACTCAGGTCGCAGCTCTGAAAACGATGGCCATCCAAGGTGGTCCCACGTACAGTCTGTCTCAGCAACCTTGGGCACAGCCAGGTAAGATTTGTCTCAGGGAATGCCACTGGCATCATACTATAATTCATCAAAACGTGTATAGCGCATGCTAGAGGGCATGTCAATGTTTTTTCTGCTTTTCCTCATACCTTTTTTTTTCCTTCCCTCTTTTCAGTAAAGATCAACGATATAGTGATGGCTACCTACCGGGTGATGAAGAGCAAGCTGCCAAGCACTTTACAGAGCATGTCCTTGTACTTATCCAATAGAGACACGGAGTTCATCCTTTTCAAGCCTGTCCGGGTGGGTGGCGGAAACGCTAAGATGTAGCATGTTTCTTTAAAAGTGTTACAGCTCAAAATATGTAATTCATTTTGTTTCATGTGGTGGTTTCAAAACAGAAATACCATGTGCTTGAGTCACTGGTCTAATAAGTAATTTTCTGAAAATATGTAAATTAGAGGCTATTCTAATTAAACTGAATAGTATAGGTCTGTTGTGCATTGGTATGTGCAGACATGTAAACAAACCTCTCATAGCACCATAAATCATCATGACTAATATTTATATTTCAGCAAGTAACTGTAGTTAGAGCTCTTTCAATCAGTTATATGTCAAGGTAAAGATGAGAATCCGGTGCTTGATGTTACTCTTGGACCGACCCTTTTGTTTAAATCTGACTTGAGATTGTGCCTTTAGCTATAAATGATCAGCGGGATTGAACTCTAATAGAGAAATCTGTGTGCCGCCTGTGTACTGTTCGTCAAGGTGCCAGGTGAAGCTGAATGAGAGGGTAACACAATTCTGCCGTTGACATGGAAACAAGATAGTGAGGGGACATAGGCCAGATGGAAATGTAGTATTAATTTCCCTCCAGCACTCAGTAATATGATAGCTTTTTTCCACAGAATAACATCCAGCAGGTATTCCAAAGACTGCATGCCTCGCTTCAGGAGGAATACAGCGGAGAAGACCTACAAATCATCGCGTGTCCATCGATGGAGCAGGTACAGCACTGTGGAATTATCACAGCCCTTGGGCACCTCACATAGTTTTAATAATACTGCTGCAAGTTCCAAAAACTGCTGAGAGCAACAGTAGATAACGTATCCCAGCTAAGTCACGGTGAACACATCATTTTTTTACGCCTCTCTTTCAGATTAACCTACTGCTGTCTGTGAATAAGTAATGTCCAAGTTTGGAAACACCCTCTGGATAGAGTAGCTATGGGATGTTGCAACTCCAACCATGACCAGGAGATGTGACGCTGCCGATCAACATGAACAGAGACTAACCTGGACTGGGAGCGATGAACTGAAAGAAAAAATACCTGCACAAGGCCAAAGATTCTTCGACGGAGGCTCAAGTAGCTACAAGTATGTGGAGGTTCAGGTATTCTTCTTGAAGTCCATAACTAGGAAGTGGAGGGTATTATTTGGGTACTGATGATTTTGCTCAACTTAAATCAAATCTGGTGTTGTGGTTAGGGTTGTTTTCATGTAGGAGAAATCCATTATTTGACAAGGGTGGATTCATGACCGCAGTTGTATCTCTCTTAACACCAAATTGTTCTGGATAAAACCAATTTGCACACTATGTGAGGGCTGGGGGGGGTTGAATTGTGTTGAGTGTTCAGACAAGGACACTTTAAGTGTACAAAAGGAGGCACTAAAGGGTTGTTCTTCAGCCTGGTAGCTAAGGGCCAGTAAAGGGGCTTCAGATGCCTGGATTCCCTCAATAGGTTTGGAAGGATAACGAGAAAAAAAAGCAGCACAATATTTTATTCCTCTATTTTAAAATGCAACAGCCTTTGTATCATTCAGTAGAACTCGCTGGTCTGATATAGGACGCTATAGGTTTCCTCTCTGATCATAGCGGAGTCCACTCAGCTGATCTTTACGGACGTTTTCTTAAAGTCTCTTCCACGTTTCTCTCCTGAATGTTTTTGTTATTCTGTTGCAAATATGTAAAAAAATACAATGAAATCTTATGTTTTATACTTTTTCCTTTTTATACATAGGTTGATTAAAACTAATATGCTTTTATTTTTGCAAAAATAATGCAGTTTTGCACTGTATGATTTATGGGTTGTGTTTCATGGTGGTCTTCGACAAGTTAACAAAAGTAAAAATATTCTAACAATTTACTTTGGTGTGTCCCATGTAAAATGACGTGTACAGTTAAACTATTTATGAATATTCTGATTAAAAAAAGAAAAAGGTTAATGATGTTTTTTGGTTTTATTGGAAGCACTTGAAATCAAATGATGTGAATAGTACAGTTTGAGTCACTTCACACAAATGACCATCGTCTGCTTTAGGGGTCTTCTTGGCAGACTGTTGCTGTTTCATTGGCAGCTGCCGTCTTTCCGTCTGTGAGATGAGGCTTGGCTGGGGCTTGACCTTCCGTGGACTGACAGTCTTTTGATCGGGGATGAGGGACTGGATGTTCTGGAGCAGGGCGTTGATCTCTGCACTCTTCTGCTGCAGATACCGCTGGAGCATGTCGAGCCCCGGCAGCGTTAGCCCTTTGCCTTGATTCAGCTGCGACAGCAATATAAAGTAAAGCCCAAAAGTCAGACAATTGGGTCTTTTTCCTCAACTTTTCAGTATTTCTCCATGAATATTAATACCACGGTAACCTACCTTCAATTTCGCCCCTACATTTAGCTGTATGCTCCGCTTCCCCGAGGTGAAAGCGATGCAGATGTGCTCCTGGGATTGGATGCGGATGTTGAGGTTAGGGCTCAGTGTCAGAGCGAGGGTCCGGTAGGGCGGAGCGTGAACATGTTGCTCTTTGTCCAGCCAGTCCCAATGTTTCTTCAAACCACCTGTGTCACTGCAGTAGGTGCCTCCCCATGGAGAAAGATTCACCCTACGAAAGAGAAGCAGGTTGTTAGCAATAAGCCTTTCAGAGGGTTTAATCCTCTCACCCACACAAGTTGGCATTTCTGCCAATTCTATTGATAAAAATACAGATAGCTTAAATGAGCTCCTATGGATAGCTGGTGATTGTACACAATTATATTGGCTATATACATATATGACGAGTGATTCAATAATCAAGCATACCAAATACAGCCATTGTTGTGATAACAGGTTGCCTGCCCTTCAGTGGTGAAAACTGCCTGAATGCAAGGCTGTGGATGTTTGTCCTCCAGGACCAACACACAGCACCAGTCAGCTGATTGGGCAGCAGATACAAGAATAGCAAGCCTGCCTGATGGATAGCTTTCAATTATGATTAAGGTAAAAACATTCAGACACTCAGTATGTATGATCTCATGCCAGTAAATTGCCGGTTAAAGGATACCACACATGCCCAGTTCCATCAGGAAAAATCACAATAAATATCTGACCATTGCTGTAGTGTTTCACAAGGGGTGACGTCCTCTGTTGAACCAATTTCAACATTAATAATCAGTGAAGGCATCTATGCTTAATAAGGCGTTCCACATTGATATCATTATTTATACCTGCCGTCCAGCATTTTGTCTATTGAAAGAGAAAGTGTTTCCAGAATCCTCGATTTCTATATATTCTATTTCAGGGAATAACACCTTCATCATGGCGGTCACAGCATCATCTGAGAGTATATTGTGTTGGGGGCACATATTTGTTGTTAGCTTGCTGTAATGTAAGAACCAGCATGATATGTCTGCCTGTAGATGGTGTGTGTGTGTGTGTGAGTGTGTTACCTGCTTGAGGGGTCTGAGGATCTGAGCTTTCATATTCCACACCTTTTAACCTGCGGTGTGTCAAGGAAAATGTAACATCAGAGATTTAGGGCATAGAAATTATATTTGAAAAGCATCCAATGGTGGAAGCCCATAATGGACGATTGAACCTGACCTTTGATCTTTCCGCATCGCCGGGTCCCTATTCCGTGCCTTCTCGCAGCAGAAAACCTGCCACAAAGACAGAAAGAGAAACTAATTTAAATACATATTCAGGCACAATATTCAAGGTCCTTAATGAGTCAAATTCCTACATCAAGGCAACTAATCAGGTTGCTCAAGTAGAGACATTCAGACCCTAACATTGTATTGTATGCTTTTGTACAGTTCTGGTAGCAGACTGTCTTTCTACCTTCCTAAACTCAAATGTATTTTTCTATAGATATAAAGATGATATATTTAGTGTCAATTATTTTCGCCACAATTATTATGAAGTAAAAATGTAATATATGGAACTAAAACTACTGATTGAACAACTTAGTTTGTTGGCATGCCAACATTTTATAATTAGCACAAAGCACAACATATAGCTGAGGCTAAGGGGAATGACATTCGTATTGCCGTTCATTAGTCATAAAAGAAAACATCAATGTGTTTATCTTTCACATTTAGATGCTAAGCTAGAACTAATATTCACATTTGCATGGCTTCCATAATCATCTCAAGTCCAAGCTGCACACATTGACACTAAACGCAACTCCTCGTTTAGCAACATGAGCAAAGTAGCACGTTTTTTGCCAGTTCTGTCAGTTTGTATTTAACATGAGCGTGTCACCATATGAACAGTAGTGTTAGCTGCCTGCTCTCACTCACCTCCTGTGGGTCGACACTGTTGGCGATCTGATGGCTGGTCACTGGGGGTTCCTCAGGCTGCTGGCAGTGCTCGCAGCGAATGTTCAGCACAGTCTGCAGCTTCTCCTCTGATGAGTCTGATCCACTTGAGGATGAGATCTGAAAGAAATCATTGGACAGGCATTTTCAGTTTTTTCTTAAATCACATTTTCTTTTAAAAACACACTGTCACAAATACATAGCATCCACATATTCCAGCTAATGAGGTATTCAAAAAGCATGTTATAGTCTGGCATGTTTTGAAACAAGCTACAGCGATGACAGGAACTAATTGCATGTTCCATAAATGAATTCGTATTTCTGCGATAAGAGAAAATACCTTGTATCTCCATACCTTGTCCAGATTAGTTAAAGACTCCTCAGGTTCTCCTGGGCAGGCTGCGGGAGCTCTGGGAGTTTCCTCGCTGAACGAATCCAACACTTCATTATCTGGGGATATCTCCAACTCAGACTTCATGTTTTTAGGAACGCTCTGAGGAGAAAAAACAAAGACACTTCATAATTTATTAACTTCTTTGAGGTCTTTAACTTGTGCTTCATGAATAAATCAAAACCATGTCTCCCGATACCATGTCATATCATCTCTCACAAGATCAAACTCACACTGTGACAAGTATAGACAAAGCTATGAAAACTTCAGTATTTCTCTAAAACACACACACAGACTTCATATATGCTAATTACATAATTTCTCCATTTGTCTAAGGTGTCTCTATAAAGTCTCCTTCAAATGTTAGTTAAATGACATAAAGTTATTCTACTATCTGTCCTATAAAGCTTTTACTTTGTCAAGGACATCATCACTAAAGTTGAGAGAAAAGGGATTTTACGAGCAAGAATACCTCATTGCGAGTTTGTCACCTTAAACAATCTTCGAGGTTACTGCACCTTACCTGCTCATATGCAATCCCCACATTCTTATGAGGTGCTTTTGATGTTCCTACGTTGTAGTATTTATAGTCTGCAAATGCAAAATATATTTATATACATCTCAGACATTCCCAACCAAGGTCAGATATTCCTAATTAGCATGAAATGTGAAGAAATTGTACCTGGATTTTCCTCTTCCTCATGTCTCCAGTCAGTCTGTGTGCCAGCGCTGATTCTGGTGACAACTCTCCCGTCAGATGCGTGGATCGTCAGATATTCAGGTGAGCTCGTGCTGGAACCAGTTCTTAATTATCAGTTTAAGAAAGCCTAATACATGCAGGGGTAAGATGCCATAGCAATAACTAAGTTCCTTCAGAATATGATACAACCCTACACAACTGCCCTGCAATAACTGTATGGGAGTCCTAATGTTTAAAGAAGGCCTACAGTGGAAACATGTTTAAATGTATAACTACATTTTCTCTTTTCATCATCTTAAATGACGTTACATGTTAGCAAGATTTCTGTTTTCTGTTCAGGATTGCCGTGTTTAGTTTATCTACTGTTCATGATGCAGTTACTAAATTATATTTGTGGCATTTCTTTCCAAACCTCTGTGTGTTTTCAAGTCCATGTTTTGTTGCCGAATCCATCTCAGGTGATCCGCCTGGCGAGTCAAGTGTTGGTTCTTCATCCTCTTCATGTCCTTGACTCATTGTGAGACAGGTGAGCAGAGAAACCACAAATGAAAGAATTAATAAAAAAACATTTTAAATCTGGTACAGAATGTTTTGCACCCTAGTGATCCATAGCAACCACATAACAATAAGCATGCTGTTTCTATGGCAGAATCATTATCAGAAATGGGAGAGAAAGAGGGAAACTGTACTTTCACAGTACGCCTCTTCTTTCATTTGATCTATTTTCTTCTATAGTTCCTACCACTGCCATTACATTCAGTTCTTCAGATAACATAAGAAAAGCCTTTGAGTGATCTCCAGAGGGGAAATGCAGGTGTTGTCGCAGCACAATGACAGAAATCTGTACGGATAAAGTGAGAGGTAAATAATTGGAGTATAAAAAAAATATATATATTGTAGTGTCTCGCTAAAGGAGCTCAATGAGGCACAATATGAAACTAAGGAACTAAGACATGTCATAAAGGTAATTCAAATATACATACAGTACCCGCTACCAGTGTTGTACTTAAACGTAAAATGTAATACTGTCTCAAGCGAAATGACATAGTGGTGTTATTCATCTGCTGTAATAACTATAGGTTACTTACGTAACCCCAGTTCTCAGAGTAACATGAAGTGAGATGTCTCACTATGGGATGCGCCTCATCGCGGAGCAAACAGAAGCATCAATCTCATTACGCCAATCCTGATTGGCTGGAGATCTTGACGTCAACGTCAGGGAATCACCCCCTATAAGTAGCTTGCGCCACAACGCATGCGCCATTCAAAATAAGCACCTCTTCTCGCTTCACCATAGCAAGGAGGGCCGTCTGGTGAGACATCTCACTTCATGTTACTCTGAGAACTGGGGTTACGTAAGTAACATATAGTTCTCATTCATAACACTCCGTTCGATGTCTCACTATGGGAAATTGTAGCTCCCGTATTGCCAGACGAGCTTATCTCGAAAATCACCAAACCAACCAGAACTTAACAGGTAGAGCTCTGACTCAACCAGGTGCCCAGCACTGCTTGAGTCACACTGGGAGCAGAACGTCCAGCCTGTTAGGAGGCAGACAAAAGTGAGCGGCGAGGACCAGCTCGCCGCTGCACCAATGTCTTTGATGGGAGACATCCTGGACAGAGTCCAGAATGCAGCCAGACTCTGAGTCGAAAGAGCTCGCGGACCCGAGGGTGCCTGCGAACTCTGACTCGTATGAGCCCCAAAGCAATTGCTTCCACAGACCAGTGGGAGAGCCGTTGCTTAGTAACAGGCTTGCCCTTATAAGGGTTAGCCCAGGACACAAGGGGTTGGTCATTATGACAAAGCACCCTTGATCTGTCCCTGTACGTGCGTGAAGCACGGGCTGGACACGGCAAATCCGGCCGCTGTTCCCCGGAGGAATACAGTGGCGGGGAGGATGCCTTAATGTCAAATGTGGTACCCGAACCGACCGCCTTAAGATAAAGGCAGGGTCAGGCTTCAACCACACTCTGTTTGCCCTGGGGCAAACTGAGTGCATGAAAACTGTACAGATAGTGCATGAGTGCCACTGGCTCGCTTGGCAGCTGCCAGGGTCAGCGTCATGTCACACTGTATTTAGATTGTACCACTCACGGGCCAGGCCCATAGAGCCAAGCGCTCTGGGTGTGGGTGAAAGATCGCCCCCCCCCCCGCTTCGGACAGTATGTCCCTGCGTAGTGGGAGCTGCCATGGCTGCCCGCACAGCAGCTGATATATCTCCGCTAGCCAGTACATAGCTGGCCAGTGCGGAGCTATCAGGATAAGTGTGTGGCGTTGCTCTCTCACTCTGGCCAGAGTTGGGGGTATCAGAGCCAGGGGTGGGAACGCGTACAGAAGGCCCGGGGGCCAATCGTGCGCGAGTGCATCCACGCCTAACGGTGCATTTAGATCGCGCATCGAAAAGAACAGCTGACACTGAGCGTTGTCTTTCGATGCGAACAGATCCACCGCGGCTCTGCCGTAACGCACCCACAGCTGGCTCACAATCCTTGGATGTAGAGTCCAGTCTGCATAAAGTGGTATACCTCTGGACAGTAGATCTGCCCCGAGGTTCCTCACTCCCGGTACGTGCGTCGCTCTCAGAGAGAGGAGACGCCTACCGCTCCATAGGATAAGTTTGCGCGCCAGTGTGTGTAACTGGAGAGAACGCAAACCCCCTTGGCGGTTAATATACGATATCGTGGTCGTATTGTCTGTCCTCACGAGGACGTGATGTCCCCTGAGGAAAGGCAGAAAGCGTTTTAGGGTGAGAAACACCGCTAAAAGCTCCAGGTAATTTATGTGTGCCCGCTGGAGGTCTCTGCTCCAGAGACCCCTCACCGGGCGACCTTCATAAATACCTCCCCAACCTGTCAGACATGCGTCCGTGGTGACCACTTTCCGTGAAAGGACAGCACCCATAGGCACACCTCGTACTAGAAAAGTCGGGTGCAGCCAGTGGTGCAGTGCCATTACGCATTTCACAGTAACCATCACTCTCTCAGCGCTGAAACTCCCTCATGTGTAAGCGTCCCAGTCGTACGACCAGGATGTCTGACGCCATGAGCCCCAGCAATCGCAGGCATGATCTGAAGAGAACATGTTTGCGCAGCCGGAAAAGAGCGAGACAAGCTCTGAAAGCTTTCACTCTATCCGCTGACAAGCGAGCTGAAAAGGGCACCGAGTTCAGGTGTAAACCCAGGAAGAGTATAGTCTGCGCGGGGCACAACATGCTCTTCTCTGTGTTTATTATGAAACCCAGGTTGAGCAGGTGCTTTACGAGGACATTTGTCTGCGTAACAGCCTCCTGCTCCGACTGTGCGAGAAGCAGCCAGTCGTCCAGGTAGGTCGCCAGGCGAATACCCTGTTGTCTTAACGGGGCTATCGCGGCTTCCGTACATCGTACAAACACCCTTGGACTGAGAGACAGACCGAAGGGGAGTACTCTGTATTCATAACAGATCCCCTGAAATGCGAATCTCAGATATTTCCTGTGTGGGTAATATACTGGGATGTGAAAATACGCATCTTTCAGGTCGACTGATGTGAACCAGTCGTCTTGTCGCACGAGCCGCAGCAGAGATGTGTGAGTGAGCATTCTGAACTTATATCTTCTTAGATATTTGTTCAGAGCCCTCAAATCAAGTATTGGCCGAATTCCGTTCCCTCCCCGTTTGGGAACGAGGAAGTACTTGGAATAGAAGCCGCCCTGACTCTGCTCGGCGGGTACAATAGATATAGCCCTCTTTTCTAGGAGAGAGAGAGAGAATCTCTTTCTCCAGAATATGGGCTGACTCTCCTCGGGCCTGCGAATGCAGAATGCCCGAGAAGCGAGGGGGGGTGACAGCGAATTGGAGTCTGTAGCCCCGTGTTACTGTCTTGAAAACCCAGGCAGATGATGTGAGCATCTTCCACTGCATGCTCCTTAGAGCCAGTGGAGATGTCACATCTCTTCCCCTCAGTCTCTATTTGTTGTGTTATGGGGCCCTCTAGTGTCTGAACAAAGTGGTGCCCCCTTTCGACAATCCCCACCGACACTGCGCATGCGCATGACGGTGGTGCCTTCACAACCCCAGCCGGCACTGCGCATGCGCGTGGTGGTGGTGCTTTTAAAAACCCCAGCCGGCACTGCGCATGCGCGTGACGGTGGTGCCTTCACAGACCCGCCTGTAATCCGCCTTTTGAAAGATGCCGTAGCTGCTCTCAGAAGGGGAACAGTTGACGGGCTGTTTATTGTTTTTCTTTTCATTTTTCCGAGCTGCGCCCTTGGCTCGAAGCCTGGATGCGTCAGCGGAAAATGATTTGTGACAGAAAAATCAATAAGTGTGTGACATGTGTTTATGCGGACTTGAGGATGGTGTTGAGGCATCTCTCGAGGCGGCGGGAACATATTTAGAGCTGGGGAACCGTAGACTTCCAGCTCTGTCACAGAGGGGAGAAGGAGGGGCTGTCACGCCGCTCGCTTCTTCTTCCTCGACTGCTGGCCGAAATTCTGGGTTGGCTGCGCCTGAGCTGCAGCCGGAACCGGAGATTTTCTAGGCCAGCTCGCCCTCGTCTCCAGCCTGGGCTGGGGACTCGGGGCGGGCTTTTCTTCACGACCCCAGCCGGCACTGCGCATGCGCGTGACGGTGGTGCCTTCACAGACCCGTCAATTGTCCGCCCTTTGAGAGAGGCCGTAGCTGCTCTCAGAAGGGGAACAGTTGACGGACTGTTTATTGTTTTTATTTTTCTTTTCATTTCCGAGCTGCGCCCTTGGCTCGAAGCCTGGATGCGTCAGCGGAAAATGTTTTATGACAGAAAAATCAATAAGTGTGTGACATGTGTTTACGCGGACTTGAGGATGGTGTTGAGGCATCTCTCGAGGCGGCGGGAACACATTTAGAGCTGGGGAACCGTAGACTTCCAGCTCTGTCACAGAGGGGAGAAGGAGGGGCTGTCGCGCCGCTCGCTTCTTCTTCCTCGACTGCTGGCCGAAATTCTGGGTTGGCTGCGCCTGAGCTGCAGCCGGAACCGGAGATTTTCTAGGCCAGCTCGCCCTCGTCCCCTGCCTGGGCTGGGGACTCGGGCGGACTGCGACCTCTGCGTTTTCGGTATTTTGAACCGAGCAGGGTTCGGAGCAGCTTGGACGAAGGGCTGCCGCTGCGAAGGCAGCGGCTGGGCCCTTCGAGGGAGGCAGAGGTGGAGGGCCTCGTCCTCCTTCTTTTTCGACTCGCATCTCCTCTGCATGGAGGCAAGAGCGGAGCCGAAAATCCCCTCGGGAACGATGGGCATGTCAAGCACATCCTGAACAACGTTCAGAGCCCTGGCGGACAACGCTGCGGCTCTGTAGGACCGTTCAGTCATGGTCGACTGGAAACGGTCCACCTTCGCTGGCAGCGTGGGGTTCCTGCTTGGTGACCCATCCTCGGTGGGAGGTGGGCTGCCACCAGCAGTTCCATCGGCGGTATGCGGAGCAGGCCGAGCCTCTGCGGGCGAGACCATGGTGAGGTCTCGCCGGGAGCTCCCGCCTGGTGAGGCGTGGGGCTCCGTTCCCGCGTCTCTTGCCGCCACCGGGTCCCGGCCTGAACGGCGTGGGATCCCGGTTCCGCAGCTGCCGCTGTTAGTGAGCCCCAGACCGACACAGTGAGGGGCTCAGTCTCTGCGGCGGACGCCCCCGTGTCTTGATTGCCAAACGGCGAATCAGTGGACATGAGGGAGTCCTGTTCCAACAAGCTAGCTTGGTGTGCTAGCCGTCGGTGGAGGCTCTTTCGGGTGAAAAGGGCACAATGCCCGCACGAGCCGGGGTTGTCGATAGCCTCCTGGGCGAGTTCCAGCCCGAGGCAGGACGAGCAGACCTGGTGTGAGTCTGTGCCTGCTATCTTCAACCCGCAGCCGCATGACCAAGCCTCCGAGTCCCTGACTCCTCTGGTGTGAGCGGGAGAGGCGTCCATCTTGTTCGCCTCGTGGCGTGGAGAGGACCCGCTCGTAACAGGTACGTCGTTGAGAGAAAAAGTGTTACCAACCCGTCCTTAATACGGAGAAAAAGGGACGGTGTGGGTCCTTTGTTCTCAAAGAATATTGACTGGTGTGTCAATATACTTCTAATCCTTTTCTCCTCCGTGAGAGAGAAAAAGAAAAGCGTCCTCGCTACCGTGGTGTCGGTAGTAAGGGGAAGCTAGCTAGCAACAGGTGCGTAGCTAGTTTGAGAAAAATCAAAACCTTACCTTACTTTCCGGGGAAAGAACGGCGAGGTCGAATTTAATACTAACTGGCGTTAGTATTACCGTCTTCTTGCGAAGCAGAAGGAGTAGCCGGCGAGCGCCCGTCGACCGAAATGGTTATATTTGGGTTCAGTCTGTGGACCGTTAAGCTTGTCCGGCTACTATAGAGATGTGCTCTGAAGCGAGAAGAGGTGTTTGAATGGCGCATGCGTTGTGGCGCAAGCTACTTATAGGGGGTGATTTCCCTGACGCTGACGTCAAGATCTCCAGCCAATCAGGATTGGCGTAATGAGATTGATGCTTCTGTTTGCTCCGCGATGAGGCGCATCCCATAGTGAGACATCGAACGGAGTGTTATGAATGAGAACACATGTTTTACTACGATCATATTTTTGGTAGTAGAACCAATGTGCTGTACTTTATTTTTTTAAACATCTAATCTATCGTGATTCATACCTTGTTCTTTTGCATACTGTCAATACTGTACATACGTGGGTTAATGCTAAAGCAAATATAAATCTGACTTTTAGAGAATATAAGAGAAAATTATGGAAAGAGAATATTATTTATTTCACTTTAATGTGTTTGCAGCTTCTGTAATTGATGTAAAAAATGTGTACATAAGCCAACTGTCTACATCCAACTTCTATGAGCACGATCATTTTAATTCTGGGAATAATCGTCCAACAGTGCATGAGCATATAGTAATTATATAATGGAAATAAATAATTGCAGTTGTTTCCGATACCTACAAGTCAAAGAAATGCATCTTTTGTATTTTGGTATGGTGCTTTAAAAGCCTATTTGATGTGCACTATAAGCTTCGTTGAGCATTAGGAACAACGCTTTAAAAATCCCATGTATTATTACAATGATGCATTCAGTTTTAAAAAGAGATGATAATAATGTGAATTTATCATAAACATTCTGTGGTTATCGCTCTCTGTCTCCCTGCCTTAAATGCAGCATGAAGGGCTCTACATTTAGCTTTTTAAAAAGGATATTCATTTATCATATTTCTTTTGATTGTGCTTTCAACTAGATAACAAGTTAAACTAGATGGAAATCATTTTAACTCTTACATTGGGAGTATTGTTAAGCTTTAATACACCACAAAGTATTGTTCTATGTGTATCTCCTGATGACATTTTCAATAATATACTAAATCAAAATCCAAAAAAACATCTTGATCTTTTTCCTTTTGCCTAAACTGGCTTTGCTAAAAACCTTAAATATTTAATAGCAAACATCAGGTTTGGTTTTGGAAGTATTGTCTGACTGAACAATCATTTATGTTGCAAAATAAATAGACTAATATAAAATGTATGCAGGCAGATTAACTGCGGGTGTTTTTCAGTAGCTGGATTTCAAATACATTTCAAGGAATAGGTAATTGGATATGATTGGGAAAAGAGTTACAGCATATATAGCTAATAAGTCAGGTGTTGGAAACAATACTTTGGTTTCCTGAAATGTTGAAGGTCATCATTTAATTATGTGCCGTAGATATTCTCTTTTATTAGAAACTATCCATTCACAGCAGAGGAAAGATAACTGTACTGATATCTGGAGGAATTATTTTGTGGTGATATTTGATAAACGGTAGAAAGACATTCTACCAGTGCTTCTTCACTGAGATTTTGATTTTCTCCAAACCAATTGACCCAATCGTCCATAAATCTTTTTCTATCGAGCTCAAGCTTTACACTCAGAATATAACCATGAAAGACTAAGCACCAGATACTCAAGACGTTTTAAATCATATAAGGCAATAAACTCTAACACAGCCATAACCGTTTCAGCTTTTTTCCAATTTTGTATTTCTCACTTAATTCACATGGGCCTTTGTCTCTTCAGGTGACTCCTCCTTTTCCATTTGTCTGCTAAGCCGCTGCGCCTGGGCGATGAAACTGTAATGTGACTTAATGTTCCTCAGCCTCGCAGAGTGGTGGGACATGAAGGTCTGCATCTGGCCAAGCAGAGAGTGAATCTCTGAGCTCTTCATTTGGATATATCTCTCCAGAACATCTTGCCCGAGCTTGCCATGACTCTCTGGAGAAATGAGCTGCATTGAAAGAAAAATAACAAGTAGTCCCTTTTCAAAAATAAATCCCGGCACACATTGCAAAGCGTTAATGATAGCTGTAATCTGCTGCATACAGTTTGGTGTGCTAAAACACGTACAGTACATCACTGCATGCATTTCATATCACATACCTTTGACCCCACATTGAAGTGCACTCTGTTTTGCTTATGTGCGAAGGTGATGCTCATGCGTTCCTGTGAGTGTATGCGCACACTGATGTGTGGGGCCAAGGCAAAGGTCAGAGGCTTGAAGGGGAGGTTACGTACATGCGGGTCACCGTACAACCAATTCCAACGCCTCCTCAAAGCTCCTGTCTCACTGAAGCAGAGACCTCCACCAGGGGTCAAATTCAACCTTCAGACACACCACAGAGATTAGCAATAGACAAATCCTCACCTGGAGCGTGTGGGCAGCAGGTTAATCAAAAAAGTGTCTTCGGTCAAAAAGTCATTTATAAAAGATCTTAACAATAGATTTGTTTTTCATTTGATTGGTAATTGTCTGTATGAGTTAAAAGCTTTCTGGCAGACAGTTAGATGAGAACATTGAGGTGCTGTTCCTTTAAGACCTTATTTTAGTAAGACATTTGCCTGAATGATTATAATAGCAGTTATAATAGAGTAACAATTACCACATCATTCCGGTGCGATGATAGCATGTGGCATGGCCTTTATTTGTGAAAATGCCTTTGATGCTGGGCGATACATCATTGTCCTCCAAGATGATGTAAGTGAAGTCCGCACCTTCTGAGGAGGATATTATAATGGCTGCTTTCCCAGAAGGGTAACTTGTGTCTATTAAGGATCATTAACACCGTGCAAACCTTTCATCTAAGGGAACAAATGTGTAGCCTCTCATTAAGGATGTACTCCTTGATCTTGCACTTTGTGCACTTCTTAAAAGGATACAAAACATTTCCGGTTCCATCTGGACATAGGGTTAGAAAGCCCTTCCCACTTTTGTAGAACTTCCTAATCAATTCCTTGAGCTGTGATGCAAAATAGTCAGTTATATTTCTGTTAAATACATTGAAGATAGAACAGGTATTGTTAAGGAGTATATATAGGTATTGTTAAAACATGCAGTGCGTTCTTACATACCTTTGGCTCACCGTCTGTTTGTTCTTTTACTGAGAACAAGTCAGTAGTTTTGTTGTTGACCTTTATCGGAGGCATTGAAGGCTCACTGTTGTTGTCTATCGGAAACAAAAGAGGATATCCATTTATTGATATTTTTTCAAGGAGAAGCATGAAAGACTGCACACTTGTCTTTTTCATGTATACTTATTTGTGTAATTCCGGGCCCCAGGTTGCATACTTACCAAAGTCTACAATCAAGTTGCCTGCTTTTCTCCAGACTCGCAAAAGCTTCAACCTGTATATAAATTGACATTTTGTTTTGAGTGGGAATATGTCAAAATCAATGCCAACACCTGAAGGGTATGATAATTAAATTCATATGCCACCTGATTTCTCATGCTACTGGTAACAATAAGAAATATGGCTTTTTTATGGCATGCACTATGCCACAATCAAAATCAACATGCGTGCAATATATGTTCGTCCTTGGCAGCCTGCCACTCGATCCATCAAATATAATACATGCAGAAGCGAACAGGGCATTCATGTTACTCACCTCTCCTTAGCCTGCTTTTTAGCGGCTTCCCTCTCCTCCTCACTCATGACAGGATCATGCGGCTTCACATCAATCTTCCTAGCTGACTCCTTCTGTGCCAATCTTTCTCTCTCTCCCATAATAAGCTCTCTCATTTGTTTAGCTTGTTTGCAACAAAAGAGCTGAATAATGGAACATTTACAACAAAACACATTCTTTTTTTATTTGCAATGCTTCTCACTTTAAACACAAATCAACATGCTTTTGTCAAGGTTAGCCGAACAGTCCTGATTTCTACTCTATTTCCATTTATTTTCAATTTCTTGTTGGAGGTAAAAAAATAGCTACACTCACCCTCTTAAAGTGTGTTTCATTTTCCAACATCTCACCGTGTATGAAGGGCTGGCAGAGCTGCTGGCAATAGTCACACTGTGCAAGAAGCCCATCCTGTTTAGATTCAACCTGTGGAACCTACGGTGAGAAAAAAACAAACAGACTCACAATCACCTCTCCACCTCTGATATTACAGCCTCCACTCGCTGCTATTACTGTGGAAAATGAAAAAGGCCATCACTGTCATTTCCAGGCACTATCGGCAATATAGAGATACAGGACAAAATCACCAATACCTCTCTAACATGAGGAGTTTGTTTTGGCTCTGGCTTGTGTGCTATGAGACGAGGCAGACCCACACTCGGTATATTGTGCTCAATCTCGGCCATCTTTTCATCTCCTGGCTCCTGATGTGAATACAAAAAAGCAATACTCTTACAGATTGTTGAATTCAAGTAAAATACAGCCGGCTTTATATCAAATTAACCTTGTACATTTTCTTAACAAGCTTCTCAATCTGTTTGTTGCACATATTGTAATGGCTTTGTAGAGACAACATTTTTGATTTTGGTAGGGGTGCCAAAAATGCTAAAATCTTTTGGAAGTAAAAAAATGACATGGACATTTGTAAACGGTCAGAATGTTCTCATGTTTAAAAATCACAAAGTGACTATTTATTTATAGTACACCGTAGGGTATTTTTGCAACTGTTGCATAGTACAATTTTTAAGTTGAATTTAAAAGTCACGATAAACCCTGTGTGGATATAAAAAAATTAATTAGCTTAATCAGCAGCTTACTTGGCTAAAGCAGAGGGGTCAACAGGTGTGTTTTTGACTGCAGGAAGATTCTGGGATACTGGCGCATATGGGCATGGCTTATAGTTAGTAAAGAGTACTTACTTTAAAATGACTCACAACCACAGTAGGTTGTGAGTAAGCATCACAACCTTACGGGAATGGCAAGCATTAATGCACGTATTGTAACACAGCCACAATGTTGTGTCACCAACAGCTGCAACCCTGGTCTAGCCAAAATGCTAAAATGATTTTTGATGGATCCTTCAGTGCTGTCACTAAGGAACTTTTTCTTGTGAAGACATTTTGCTGTTTTTGACTACAAACTCTTATCCAGCTCAAAGTGTTTGAGAGCTTTGAGTAATGCATTGAGACAGAGAGGCTGAGTGGACAAAGTCAGCAACACGGCCCCGACACAACCGTTGTGTGTGCGCTACCCAATGTGTAAAACAGTCTGTCCTTTGCTTATATATGTGTGTTTGTGAATGCAGTTTTGTATACACCTCTGTGTTGTCTGCTTGGGTGACGTTTTATTCTGCTGTTGATTCTATATGCATTGACTATTTATAATTGGCGTTTTAATTGTTGTCGCCTATTGCTTGTTGCACCCGCTGAGGTGTTATTAGGTCTTTTTATTTATTGTAATTTTTGTTTAATTGTATTATTTGGTCTACACTGACGAAGACAGTTGAATAATTAATACATATACTTTGTTATTAATGCAATGTATTTGTAACTTAAAGGTCTATCACCATATTACCTCTTTATTAACCACCCCCTTTTAACCCAGTAACTTTTACTCCAACATTTTAACAGTTCTCTATTTTACTTACGTACATTTTGTTTACAAAACTGTTGTTTTACTTGAGTTTTACATTGTAGTACTCTTTCCATTCTTGAGGCAAAACCTTTATGTACAAAATATACTCTCTAGAAATGATTACTCATTGACTAATTAATATACCAAATATTACCATGAGATATATTATAGTAATATACAAACCAAAACTAAAGCACTTCTTATGCAGAATGGCCAGTTTCAGTATAACATACAGTGTATTATATTATTGGATTGTCATTAATGATCCATAGATTTATAATCATCACTTGCCGCTGATGCAAGTTATGTGTTAATTAAGTTGGGGATCATTTTAACAAATGTAAGTAGCTAGTGTTTACTGCTTTTGATTTTCATTCATTTCTTGATTATATTTTCTTTTAATCATTGTTTATCTGCAAGTAAAAGGTAACAAGACAGAAATACTGAATGAAGTACCTCAAAATTGTACTTAACTACAGTACTTAGATAAATCTAATACTACTACTGATTTTGAACGGCTTAGCGCTGTATGAAGAAGATTGACCTAACTTGACTGCTTAGTTGAAACACATGTTTTGCTTTGAGCAGGATACCTCTGAAGAATCGGCGACAGCGTCCATGTTCACCACCTCTGCCTGCAACAACGGGGGATTTTCAGTTTCCTTTTGAACTGCACAAAAAAGAAATAATTGGGAGTTTGACAGATGTCTAAGTCATGAGAGGCAAGATGGGGCAGGAACAGGTGACCCCTTCTCACCCAAACTGATGACATGGTTTACCTTGACAGCTGAAGAAGAGGTTCTGCTCCACCCACTCCCAATCTGTCTGGGTCTGAGCGCCCACCAACGTGATGAATCTTCCATCCAGTGAGAGAACCTCCATGAACTCTGGCGAGCCTGGACTGCAAAGATGAACAAAGACAGAGTTACAGCAATGCTCTACTAGAATGGCTCTACTCATCTTAAAGCTACAGTAATTTATTTTTGTCCTCTTGGGGGCATAGGAAGTCCTCAGCAGGAAACAAAAAGACACATCTGTCATCATATCATCTCATGAAGTAATTTAAGTCAAGTTCTAACTCTGTTTCGCTCCTCAAAAACTAGTATTGAGTATTTATGTACAGTCTACTGTATGGTGTTTACTGCATTCACCAGTCAACCATTCAGGGATTGTTAACATATAAAAGCTAATTTGTGAAAACAGCTGCCTTCTGAGCTTCGATGCTAGTAGTTAGCATCGAAGCTCAAACTCAATAAGAGACTACAGTTGAGGAAGATACATTTAGTGAAGCTTTGAGGCCTCATTGTAGCCCTGATATAAAATTCTGGCTTCAGTACCGCTGAAGGGAAATGATCCTTTGTCGGTTTTGGTTTCCGTTGTCCTTGAGCCAATGTCATACCCTAACTTCATGCTCATGTTTTGGGACTAGGCCTATACCTTTTCCATCAGAGTGGGCGATAGCCAACCGTTATAATCCAAAACATCCCGGTTTTCAAAAGAAATAGCATTCACTTTGACTATTCCCCGGCAGTAATGGTGGTTTAGAGAGCACTACATATATATCATAGAGCAGTGACAGTGCTCAGTTTGTTTGACCCCGTTCACCAGCTTCACCAACAATAATATGACAATAAAAAAACATCATAAACAAAAAGTCAAGCATCACAAACTGTAACAGATCAATTTCACAGCATATCATATTAAAACAAAAAAACTGCAGGAGATTAAAGTTTTACAATGCTGGTCAAATGTATAGTCAGAAATAATACACTGTGAATTCTTAAGGGAATGTTATATGAATGCTACTGTCATTTTTATTGGACTTTCCGTCATGCTACTGTAAATTAGCAATGCTCCTTACGGATTCTCTTTTATAGGTGATGTACTGAAGCGTCTTGGGTCTCTCCAATGGCCTATGGAAAAAATAAGTTACAATAATAAAATAAATAGACAGCCTGAATGTTAACAGTCATCAGACTTTTTCACATCCAACTCACTTTTCTTCAGTTGTTCTTGTGGAAGTGTGCCAGCACATAGTTTCCCAAGGTCATTTGCCACTAGCGGAGCGCAGATTTGAGCGTTCAAAAGAGAGCTGGAGTAGTTGTCGGTTATGATATTGACAATGGGATCTCTCTGGTTGTCGCATGTCTCTTGCTCCTCCAGGCTCTTCAGGTTGTCATAAAGCTGTCGAGGGGAGAAGTCACCTTCTTTAGGGCTCTCAGGAGATGCAGACGCAGAATCCCTTTGGTAGGTTGGAGACTGACTCATCTCTTATAAAACGTGATATGTCGTCTCAAGCAACATCTCTAGGACTCTCTGAATATTGCACAGTTCCATTTGTATCACTTCTGTTATTGTTCAAGTGCAGTTGCCCGGCAGTAGTTTTGCATCAAACCCAAGTACATCCAAAATGTCATAAAGTCACAGAGACAAGCGTTCATGTTCTCATTACATTACTTATAATGACTTTCAAGTGTACTGATAGAGACTCTGTGGCTTCAAGCTCTTTACTAAAATAGACATATTGCTACACTTAGATTTTGTGTGGAAGATTTATGTCAAACAAGATAACGGCCAACTTTTGAGTGTAGAGTCTGAGACAACACTGTAACATAATATCCCTACCGAAGCCAATAAAATGATCTCACTCTGTGATAACAGAGAATACACTTCAACGCTATCCTTTCATTGAGGATGATGCATCAGGGGAAGTAATTACAGTCGCTACTGACAGATCGATGACTAAGGCTGACAACAATACCTTAGTCTATAAAACCCTGATTTCCCTCTGCTGGGTTCTATCATTTATAGCAGGCGCTGCAACGAAGCAGAAGTATAGACGTCTTTTGTATTGAACAGTCAGCCTATTTTGTAGGTATTACACAGATTCATTTCATACAGAGTTTGTATGTGTACATCTAAAGGTAAGCTGGCATAATTCAGTGCTGTTATTTACTGTTGCCTTTTGATCTGTGAATTCAATTAATAACTTGCCTCACCTTTAAATGCTTTGATGCAAATCTCAAGGCTGAGATGCTGTGCTAATTATTTTTCATTTTCACTCTAGTGCTGGAAAAAACATTTCAGGGCCTTTTGAGGAAATCATCAACAATGTGGACCATTGCTCTCGTTCTTTGTTTGGGGAATATTCTCATCGGAGCAGAGGCCAGCGATCAGCATTCAGAACCGTTCCCTGTAATTGAACTCTCTGAAACGACATCCCCTGGTCTTTTAATATTAGAAAAACAGAAATCCAACAGCTCAATTCATCCCCCTCAGGTAGACAGACCAAAAGCACCACACCCTCCTATGTGCTTGGAGTCAGCTGGAATCAGAGACGCCTTCAAATACATCCATACTGTGGTTTCTCTTGTGGTATTTGTCATTGGAATAGTGGGAAATTCAGCCTTATTGAAAATCATATATGTTAACAAAAGCATGAGAAGCGGACCAAACATTCTCATTGCCAGTCTTGCTTTGGGGGATCTAATCCACATTGTGATAGACATTCCCATCAACGCATACAGGGTGAGTTAATCACATAGCGCTGTGTTACAATTACAATGAGAAAAACAATGTTGCACCTTGTCCTGTTCTCTGCTCTTTTTTTAAATCCATTTTCAAACTTCAATCTCACCTTGAATTGATTTTGGGTGTTTTCTCATTGAACATTTTCTCTGCTTTTTTTCTTCAGATCATGGCAGAAGATTGGCCATTTGGCTTAGCGCTGTGCAAACTCGTCCCCTTCATACAGAAGAGCACTGTTGGAATCACTGTGCTGAGCTTATGTGCTCTGAGTGTCGACAGGTACGGAGATAAACAGCTCTCTCCTGGGCCTAAGGAAATAGTGCTCGCTGGCTACTTACTGTATTTCAATAAGCAGACGGATTTGTTTAACATGAGTCCTTGAAATATTCTTGAAAAATGTATTATAGTTACAGAGAAAGAAGTCCCCAAAGCCATTACATTTTCCCATTGATTTTGCAGATACCGAGCTGTAGTATCCTGGAATCGAATCAAAGGCATCGGGGTTCCAGTGTGGACGGCAATCGAAATAACTCTGATTTGGGTTATTTCGATCCTGCTGGCTGTGCCTGAAGTTGTCGGCTTTGATTTGATAACAATGAACTATAAAGACAAGCATCTGAGAATATGTCTGCTTCATCCCATGCAAACCACACCGTTCATGCAGGTAATATAATCGTCTCGAGACTATGCAACAGGACAAAACAAACAGATCAACACGTGTTTGTCTTGTCTTTTCACATCCAACCTACAGCAATACTCATAAGTGTTGACAGGAAATGAAAGGAATAATAGCTCTAATATGATTTTCTCATAACTTCATGTAACAGATGCCCACACATTCACGTAGATGCCCTTGTTAACGTGTGTGTCTCAGATATTGTTTTATGCATGCTGTAACATAGCAACCATCGGACATCATGTCATCTGCAGCAGCGACTGACGACTGTGGGCTTATGTCGTGTTAAATCAACAGTTTTATAAATCAGTGAAGGACTGGTGGCTCTTTGGCTTCTACTTCTGCATGCCCCTGATTTGGACGGCCGTCTTCTATGCACTCATGACCAGGAAAATGCTGAAACATTCGGAGAATACATTAAGCGACCACACCAAGCAGGTTATTACTTTTAAGTACATTTGGCCATTTCTGGGGCATTTTTCTCATATTTTTTAAATAAACTGAACTCTAATATTGATTATATCTTTCCTTTTGAAGAGAAGAGAGGTTGCAAAGACAGTCTTCTGCCTGGTGATCGTGTTTGCACTCTGTTGGTTGCCTCTGTACCTAAGCAGAATCTTGAAATCAACCATGTATGATCAGAAAGATCCTAAAAGGTGTCAGCTACTGAGGTGAGCATGACAGATTTAACAATGTTTTTCTCATATTCCTCTCTCATTTGACTAATTCATATTTTATTTATTCTTCTTTCTCAGCGTCTTCCTTACCCTGGACTACTTTGGCATTAATATGGCATCCCTCAACTCGTGCATCAACCCTATTGCATTGTACATCGTCAGCAATAGGTTTAAAAGATGTTTCAAGGTGAGTTCGATTTTTTTTACTTGTTCCTATGTATGGCACAATTCACGTTTACACAAGTCTAGTTAGGCTGAAGGCATTGTGATCCACATCGGGTGAGCTATCATATGTGTCATCAAGGCCATATGGAGTCATGTCTGTAAAACGGCCAGTCTGGAGAAAGCAATGACCCGAGGGAGTAATAAGTGAAAATGGTCTGGAAAAACATTGTCAGAAAAAAAACAGACACTTGGCAATCTACCAGCAGTTTGTCACTGAATCAGAGAGATGTGTTATGAGGGAGAAGAAAACATAGCTTCAAGGCAATTTCCAAAAGAAAATGTCTTTAAAAGCCTTTATTGTATTTCGAGCTCAGAAGGACATGTCTAAAACATACTTTGATTTGTTTTGGCTTGTGCACACCACAGTGCGTGAAGAACTACTCTCCCCATCTAGTAATGGTATTTTCCCATTTATTTATTATTGTGTGTTTTCCGCTACAATTTATCCTTTTTCCTCTAATTAAAAGACAATCCAACTAGAGATTGTTCTCAACAATTGTCTCTACACAGACATTAAACAGAATTGATTTCTAGTATACCCTCTCTGAAGTCTGTAGCAACAAGGCTTTTAAAGAAGAGTCATTATTCAAAGACAAGCAAAACAAAATTGCACTCTGATTATACTGTGAAGGCTCCACACACAGATACACTTCATTATAGGCCATTTTCTAAATGTGAAGTTGATGTTTGTTGTTCTCTGGCCAAACGTCTTTGTGTTTGTGGTCCCTCAGGCATGTCTGTGCGGTTGCTGTCGTCTTGGAGCTGTCACTCATGACGATGCACAGTCTGTTTTGAAGTCCAGAATGCAGGATCAAGCCTCGGAGCAGAGCAGCAACATCAAAGCTCACAAGCAGACGTCCACACCTCTACCTGAGCAGGAGAACACCTTACCGTGTTAACAAAACTCTGAGAAAATGTATTGTGAGTTCTTCTTTTTTTTCTTTATTACGTGCATATTTGGCAATCAAAGTTACCAACACACCTCTAATGGTTGCTCCGCAACCTTGACATGCCAACCTAATAAAATAAATCACCATTTGAATAACAGGCAGCACTGTCTGTTGTAGTGCTGTCGTCAGTTGAACATCTGCTTTAGTATGAGCAACCTGGAGTCAGACTGTTCAGACTATTTGCCCCCGGGGCTTGACTCACTCCCAACCATTACATCATATATTACCTACAGTACTACCTATCCTGTATCATGCATCACAGCTCCTCAAATCACTGTTTTGGGCACGATGTTAACCTGGCACCCATCAACAGAAATCTTGTCATGGCTTACCGCCTGCATACAGTATTTCTTTTAAATCTGTTTCTGGATTCTGGTAAGACACTCTGCCGTACAAAATAAAGCACATGGGAATTTAGGATTATTACGGTGGGTTTCATGTGGAACGGTGTATTATTAGCACATCAATGCCTGTTTTGATCTGTTAAGTTTCCCCGTACACAAAGAGTTTATAGCGTTCCTTTGGTTCTTGAACCTTGAGAAACATATTAAATTGGTGCCAAAAGTAGATTCTGTCTCCAACACTGAATGACTGATTGATGGTGGCTTATTTTTAATGCATTGTTAAATGTGTAATGCATGGAGAGACACTTTATAAAAGACCTGAGAGTGGGGAAGAAGGAAAACGAAGATGACAGAATGAGGTCAGGGGGAGAGCGGGAGGGGGTGGGGGGGTGAGATGAGCACCTGATAGGTCTCCCTGTCATAGGACAAGGCATGCACAAATAGAGCGCTGTTCTTCACGCTAACGCTGTATCAGTCTGCAAAACTGTCTTGATGCTGTGTGCACTGGAATGCCTATTAAAAGTTTATCTTGTCTAAGTAAAGAGAATACTCTCAGCTGTTTGAAGATTCTGTTGTTTGTTTGAATAAAAGCTTGTGATGTGTGTAAGGCTTATAAATATGAGACGTGTAAAACTGAAATGACCTTGTGGTGTTTTCTCTAACTAACTTTCCAGTAAAGTACTCTTTATTGCTCAAATTAAACTTTTATATCATAGTAATACACATTAATTTTAATGTGTATTATAGACATGTCTGAATGAAAAATACCTTATTTAAACCTTGGATAAATAAAGCCATGCACTTTTTGATCAATGGTTCTCATAATACCATGCACATAAAAATGCTAGCTTTGTTTTATATCATGACTTTTTCACTAGAGTGCAATTGTAAAATGTGTTTGTTGCTGTAATAGCTCTTGGCATATTGAATAGAGAGGACAAGGAAATGCTGATTGCACATCACATCTCATCAAAGCAGCAGTCTGACATCTTTATGTACCTAATCGGCTATCCTTGCTTTCCTTCACACACAAACACTAGATCAATTAAACAACAGTTTTTTTTCAATAATCAATGTGATCATTTAAAATCTCAGTGCATCGCTTACAAGCTTTGCCTTCAAATTTGTAAATGTATGCATAAAATCAAGCTGTTGTACTGTTAATACAAATGAGAGCCATCTGACTCTAAATGTGTTTGTGATTAGAGGAGCCAAAAATATGTTTTAAGAGAACAGAGAGAGTAACATGCGTGCTTTCCAGCCCACACAGTCACATTTCCTGCTGCGCTACACACATATGCACCTCTCTCTGTTCTGACATGAGAGACTGTGTCTCTGTGTCTCTCAGGCTTTGACTGTTGGATACAACTCTGTTGGACAGGATATGGGAGTTCAATATGCTCACTTGTGCTGGAGCCAAATTGTATTGTTTTTGATCTCGCACAACATATTTGTTGTGTCTTATTTGTGCACTGTTTGAAATCCGTCCTGCTTTTTTTTAATAGGTCTTCTTATTTTGTCATTTTAATATCAAATGTGTATGTTCATTTAGATGGCTTTCATTGTTATTTGTATAGTTATATGACTAAATGGAAATCCAAAGTTTACGTACTTTTAAAAAACGTTTTTGTTGTTGTATTTACTTGCACTATTTTTCAGTTTTATTGTGTTGCACTGTTGATGGAGCTTGTGACCTAAGATTTTCATTGTCATAACTTCAGTGTAGCTATGTACGTATGACTAATAAAAGCCTTGAACCTTGAACTGCAGTGGCACACTTCTGTCAGATACTAATTTGAGTCAAATTCAGTCACATCCTCTCCTTAGTTTATGTAAATGCCAGCAGATAACTAACAAATGGTGTGGTGCTAACATGTCCGCAGCAGTACATTTCACAACTGGCGAATGACACAATCATGCACATCCACAGAAGGTTGACGTCAGTGTCAACATGGGCGAGAAAGCAGGTGTCTTAGACCTTCTTTAGTAATCTCTGTACACACAAGGCTCGGATAGGGCTCCCCACGGAGCTGCCCAGACTGTGGATTTAATTAAACAGTGTGAAATTAATTAATCAGTGGGGTGGCAGGTATAAGGACTTCTCACTGCCACTGCTCACACAACCAAGACAAGCATTTCATGTGTGGTGACAGTTATTAATTTGCTGTATGTGTTATTATAGTGTTTCTATATAGAGATGCTGAAATTCAGGGAGATTAAAAAGCTTGGCATGGGAAAAAAGTCATGCAAATTATCAAAATAACAGCTCCCGAAAATCAAAGTGTAAACCTGTGTTTGATCTGTTCTATCAATTAATTAAAAATGTTCAGTTCTGTATAATAATGTGGTTCAAATTAGATGGAAATGAGATAAAATATTCATTTAGTTATCTGGGGAATCTGCCTGGAGGGCTTTTTAGTCTTCAGTCTGGCTCAAAATGCTGTCCATATGGCAATTATGTACAGTAGTGTTGCAGGAGGATTGGTCTGATGCCTACTGGCAGAGAGGAGCCTGCCTGTGACAAACTGCTGCTAGGATCTGATGTGAGTTGAGGGAGATAATGAGGCTGTTGTAAGCCTTAAGTATAGCGCCTGCCCCCGGTGTGGCATATCTAAGGGCTCAGGCTCCTTCATTGTTGCACGGGCAGCTGAGGATTAAAACACATTTACTTTGTTTTCTCCTAAACTTTGTTAGTACTTTCCGCAACTCTTTGGACAACTTCTGCTTTCATGTGGCAAGCCTCCTGACATTGCTTTGAGAAGGATCTGTTTTTCTTCCCCTTTTTTATTTTTACAGTTTGTCGATGTGAGGTCTTGATTTGATTCTGCTTTGAGCTATGTATAGCTCCTTTTAAACACCCCAACAGACGACGTGTACATTCTTGGGTACAACCTGCGGTGACTGAAGTTTTGACAAATTCCATATTTTGATAAAGAATCTTTTAATATTGTACCCATGAGGTATGCCGTGGCTCTTCAACATGAACATGTTGTCAGGGTAAAAAGAATTACGATACAGTGGTGGAAATAATTGTTGTTGATTTGATTTGTTGTTTGTCAGGGACGGGTGGCGCAGTGGTCTGTGCGTTTGTTCATCAGATCAAGGGGGCGTTGGGGAACTCCAGTTTGAAACCCGCCCAACTGCGTCAGGCCGTTGTGTCCTTGGGCAAGACACTTCACCCGAATTTGCTCCTGTGGGTATTGTCCACAGTAGATGACCATTACATGTATGTATGATCTGTATGTGTATTTGTAAAGCGCTTTGAGAGTCATTGATAAAGCGCTATAATAAATATAAGGATTATTATATACTGTACCGTGTCTTCTGAGAGAATACCATGCCTGCTGTGTTGTAAAGATAACTTTCCACCGCTTGTGAGGAACTCTTGACATCCGCTGCAGGTTGGATGCCTCCACCACACTAACTGTCACACATACAGCGCGTTACTAAGGAAACAATGGGGAAAATTCCAGGACTGTGTCCAATTTAGACCTACACCACACCACAGGTTTTCTATTTGAGTGTAACAAGGACACCATGCAACCAAGTGCAATACACAGAAAAAAAAATCCTGCAAACAGTCAGACTACTGGGCAGAGCTGTAAGTGGTCACTCAACCATGGGATTAAAACGCATTTAAGCCTTGTACCCGCCAAACCCCCCCACCCCTCATTCAGCCATGTTATTTCTAGCCATTCAGGAGAAATGAAAGACAAATGTTTGCTGCCTGGGTTGTTATTGCGAAACTGCAGGTTACAGGTTCTTCACGATGCCAGCATCTATAAACATGTTGCAGTGCTTTCTTGCAGAAAAACATAATGAGCTAGCTAGTCTAAAAGGGTTTCTGTGTTCTGGTGAAGGTGCAAAATGGACTGTCACTACTGCTTATTTCATTCATGTCGGGATGTAATGGAAAACATGCAATCAAATGTAGGACACGTTTACTAGAGTGCTTCACTTCACACTCCTATTCACACGTCTAAATCCTCTTGGGCAACAACGGGCACATTTATGAAAGGCTATCGACGTATTTATATGCAGCTCTATTGAGTGCATGGGCTTGATTAGCACAAATCCATGCCACAGGATAAATCACCAGCTAAGATATCCCAAATGTATTGTGCTGAGTGTTGTTGCCAACAGGATGTTGGTGGGAAAGCTTTTGATTCAGTGGTCACCAGAGTACCACAGACCCCTGCCTGACTGTGCTTGTTTTGATGAGCAGTGATGAAAGCGCAGGTGGATGTGAGAAAGCTCCCCTCCCTCGGCTGCTGCGGACTCTTCTGTGGTTTCCTATTAGCACAGGAGTGCAGGTTTGCAGTCTGGCTGCTGGGCACAGTGGGTCAGTGCTCACAAAGCTCTGTTTGTTCCCTGGCCTGCAGGGCTCCCAGGGTAAGCTTGGCTCCAGAGGGAAGACAAACAAAAAGGCACCACTGTCTCAAACACTGAAGCTGCTCTCCAACACATTCGTTGTTTCTTCTCAATGGGGCTACATTTATCTTCTAAGGAGAGGAATGGTAAAAGGAAACACATTTTCTTTTTAACAGGGCCTCAGGATAACAAAACTGCTGTTGTTTTCAGCTATGTGTTTTTTCTTAGTTTAAATGCCATTTTGAGTTGTTGCTTATGGTGATATGTTTTTTTGATTTTTGCTTTGTGCTTTTCATCTCATTTTCTCTGGCTTAGACTCAGAGCTCTTTGTCTTGTGCTGCTGTATCAACATAGTCTGAGTGAAACTCAAGGAAACCGCCGGCAGCAACAGGGACATTACACATCATATTTGCATTTCAGCTGCAGTTACTAACTTTAGAGATGTTATATATATAGCTACTGAACCCCAGCTAGCACGGCCTAGATATAAAAGGTTTCATTTGATTAATCAACCATTTCAATGCATCTCTTACCTCCATACTAACTGTCTGTCTGTGATTTCTGAAGATGAAATAATGTGCAGGGTGCTCTTCCAGCTGCTGTCAGGTCAGACATTCACTGTTGTGCTGCAATCTGCAGTCCAAGTATAACTCCATTATTGAGGGGACTTTAAAATGGGAGCTGTGTGACACACAGCGGGATGATTTAGTTTAACGACCATGGCAGTGACAGTGCTGTGATGGAAATTGGACTCCCCCTGCAAATTTACATCACTTGAGGGTACTTGAGGCTCTTTTAGCGGCTGCACTCCAGAGCACGAGCCATCAGGAGGTCCTGGATATGTCATGCTTGTCACCTTCCTTTAAGTGCATCGGCAGACGTGGGAGAGGGATTAATATTATATAGCCTACGGAAGCACAGAGGCCGTCTTATCAGCACTGCAGATGTGATAAGCACCTCTACCCCCATGAAAACCAGGAAAGATCTCCAAGCAAAGAGACAAGCATCTCTTTGTGTTGTTTTCTCACACTGCTTCAGAGTTTCAATGCGGCTTTAGTGGCAGATATGGTGCAATTTCACATCTGTTGTAATTTGATGTGCCTGGATCACCCTCTGTGAAATCGTCTTGATCGCAACATGGCTCCTTTCAATTATTTAGAAAGTTGGCATATGGCTTAAGAGATCTAATCTGACTTCTTTTGATTTTGAGGTATTCAGAATAGTCACACCACAATCCCCAATAACAGCTGTACAAAAAAGCCCGTCTCTGTGATCCCGTTATTTTGTAGCTTATCCAGACTACTCTGTTTTTTTAGGGAGAGGAAAAATACATGGATTTATTTATTTAATAAAAATGTCACTTTTAAAGAAATATTTTCCATCATTGCCATGACACTCATCTCACATTAGTTCACATCAATGCAGATGTCAGTGTGCACACATTGCCCTCAAACGGATTCTGAGCTGTGAATGGAAGTTATGGCAACCATTGCTGTCACTTCAGTTTTATCAAAAAAGCACCCAGTGGAACCATGGAAACAAGATGTGACACCAAAAAACATCTACATCAAAGCCAGCATATACTGTAATTAGAATTTATTGAAGCCTGCTCGGTCAAAAAGGTAATTGATCTGCTCTGGATTCAGTCCCACACCTTCCATTAAACATACAGCGCACTAAGCTTTAATATTACATGATGCAAAAATGAATGTGCTCACAAATAGGAATATGGCATTCATGTTTTCCACTTGTATTGTACAGAATGAAGCAGCATACATAGAGAAAGCTCCTGTTTATATGTCAAATATTTTGTCTGGATAAAAACTTGTCAAATTATGTTTAATATACTATAGATTTTCTTACATCATGATCAGCATTTCATGCTAACAGGCACAGCTTTCTGGCAGTATTTACAGTCAAACTGAAAATAAATATCTGCATGCATAACTACACAAAAGAAAAGTTTAGAGACCTTGGCGGTCTTTCCCAAGAAAATAGAAGATATGTTTTATCATGAGTGTTGCGTGATGTGTTACACAATCCCTAAAATGCGTGCCACCCACCAGCGACAGGGCATAATGACTCGGCAGGCTACCTGGCATCCTCTGTAGTTGTAAGGCCAGGGCCAGTAGCCATTCAGAGGCTCACATATTCTCTGACAGTGAGTGTAGCTGCGCTGGCATTCTGAGCAGCAGATCCCTTGGTGGTCTAACATGGTGTCAAAGGTCATGGCGCCTTCCTCTTGGACCCCTTCGTTGCGCTGTAGTTTTAAAGCATATGTTGTTTTTTAAGAGCAACCTTTTCATTTAATTTTTCACACATACTCATTTGCAATTCAAATCTTTTTCAGAAACTTTCATCCTCTAAAATATGTGACCACATTTCTCTAAGGAAACATGCATTTTTAAAAACCAATGGGAATTTTCACTTCAGTTCATAAGTTCATAAACTTGAAATTAAAGCTATTACCCCAGTGACCTGCAATCATAGCCACTAATACGACACCTACTCAACAGCTGTAGCAGTTTATTAGCTTGCAGAGGTTAGCACATTTCCACACAAGTACTTATATTTCTTTGAAGATTAATTTTTTAACAAGACTTGCATTTTAAGCATTATGAAGTCATCTGAAAAAAGTGTTGACAAAACAGAGAAACTTTTCCAACGTTACTTTAAGGGTTGCTTAAGGGCTTGTGCGTCTCTTGATAGTTAATAACAATTTCACCAGCTCTGGAGCTTTGTTTATTATAAACAGTGTTGTTGATGCAGTTGGTACTCACATGGTAGGGGTTTTCGGGATTGTATGCTGACCCCCCAGCAGACTGCGCCCCCTCCTCTTCCTCCACCACTCTGGAGGTGTCGTCTACTGTGTGACTCACCGGGTTCCTCTCCTCAGCCTCCAACTCCTCCATGTTAAACTGCCGATTGGATCGCTGTGTGTCTCTCTTCCTCCTCTCCCCATCTGTTACAGCAGCCACGAGAGGCAAGAGTATTGGGTCAACATCCACAAGACGCCATGCATGTCCTCAGAGCTCAATCCTACATTGCCGGAGCTGTCTCAGATGCCCTGAATAATTAAATTAGCAGCAGTGATTTCAAGCAGTCGTGCATATTTCAAGATCATTCTTATTTAATACAGGACCGGAGCCTTTTTTGGTGTACTCTAAATGTGGAGTATGTTCAAGATGTTCCAGTGTTTCACCAACTTCTTAGACAAGGCTCTACATTTACAAATGTGTCAGCAGAGAAGCAGGGCAACCACATCCAAGCTTTAAATAAACTACAGTATGAAAGAATGTACACACATTTAAATTGGGTACACCATAACCTGTGTTGGCAGGCGAGTTTTATAGACTCTTTGGAATAGAGTAAATCAATACATAATATGAAAAAGTGAGCAACCTTTAGGATAGGTAGATTGGAGCCAGTAAATGGGGAGTTCCCCGCAAAGATTCAGAATTGTATTGCTCAGGAAGCTGGTGTCCTTCAGCGGCTGCTCAGCGGAAACCCATATGAGATACTCCTCATCAAACCTCACTGGGATGACTTCATCTGTCTGGCAAGAAGAAAAAGACATTGTCCTTGAATATGATAGAGGTGTGAGCAGAGGGTGCGCTTCATTTTAACGCTGTCTTAATGTTGTGTATTAAGTGGTGTGCATATACCAGGTCAAACATCAGCGACTCTTTGTTGTGGGCTCCCTTGTGTGGAAGGCTGGCTTTGATTTGAGATTTTATATAACACTTGTCTCCTCCAAAGAAGCGGATTCCGGTTATTCCCTGCACCAAATCACAGAGATGCCATGTTTACACTCACAGCTTTGCTACTTTGCTAAGCACACAAAAACTCCCAGCTGAACTACCTCAGGAGGCGAGAACAAGGACAAACTCACTCACAATTTGAAAGTCATGAATTTCCACAACTTCCTCAGCTCCACTTCCAGTTTGAAATCTCTCCAGGTTGTTGTCTGAATCAATTTCCACGGAGCCTTGCCTCGCCTTCCCATTGATGTTCATACTGTAACGAACATTATAAACCTGGCAGGATTCAAGGAGAAACGTTAAAATGACTGATTCTAAAGTTATGTAAATCACAGTGTAGCACACAATTGAAATGAGATACAGAAAAACAAGCTTAATAGTGCTCATGAAATCCCCATGCACAGTAATTTTGTTGCTCCTCTTACAGAAATCCTGTGTTTATTTTAAGCATAGTGAAAATTGAGCAAAGCTCCACAGGATATGCTGTTGCAAACCTTAATGGAAAGATTGCCCTACAGGTGCTTCCAATACGACATTTAAACAATACATGATTTTTATATAAAATGGAGTACAAAAATGGGAACAATTTATGTAGTTTGTATTTAATTTGTAAAATAATGAAACAGTCTGAATTGATATTGATACGTTTTCTCTGGTATTAACATACATATCTTTGCTATAATGCCTATAAAATGTTTTTTCATTATCAGAGGATCTTCTTTTCTAGCTAAAAACATCCTAAAGCATTCTTGCAGTCACTAGAAATATGCTATTGAAGCAGCGCTGTAATACAACATAATCCCCAGTCAGGACTTACATTCTTATCACTGACTTTCCACAGGTAGAGAGCAGCCGTGGATGCACACAGCATCAACACGGCACCAACAATAAGAGCAGCAGCCCCAAATCTCAGGAGGCGACTGACAGAGGCAGAGGTTGGTGCACTTTGCTCCTTTGGTTCAGAAGATTCAAAGTTAGAGACTGGACAATCACATCACATAACAATCCCGAAAACGTTCCCAGTCCAGAGTTTTATTAACATGTCACAGATGCCAATTATATTTATCATCAAAAAGGTTTTAAGTCCTTCTTACCGGAGGCATGCAGTGCTCAAAACTGCCGGGTCCATGAGTGGTATATTGGATTTTTTCCATAGTCCCTCTTCTGATGTCTTCTTTAATTCCTCCACTAATACTGATGCTTCTCTTCGGAGAATCAGGTTATCCACCAGAAGGATTTTTGACATTTGAGTGTGAATGACGCACAGTTGATATAAATTCTTTGAGCTAAATTCTTCATCAAAATGTTACCTGTGAGTCCCCTAAAGCAATGTGGCCATCCTGTGGTACCAAACCTAAACTAGACTTTTAAAGATTTGTGAACTCACGTTGCTTTGTGTCATATGTTGCAGTCAGTATTGTTATTGGTGGACGAAAGGTTGTAACTAATTATCAGTCATTGTTGGGAATAAAACATTAACAGCTATATTCAAGTCATTTGTACTTTGTTCCTTTCATTTAATTATCCATGTCTTAATAGTTTGATGTCAAATATGATATAAATGTATATGAATGCTAATGATTTACTGCCATTTTTTCTCTGGCAATTAATGAGAAACGGAACAGATTGCTTTCCCTGTGGTAATGCTTATATGCAGAAGCGTGTCTTCTTAGGTCTTTATATTCCTACAAAATTGTAGAAGACAGCCCTGACTTGCAAAGCCAAACACACAGACACAACCTTTGCTTCATTATTAATTTTGTGAATTGACAGTGGGAGGAATGTAGTTTTGTGGTCAAGGTTATTCGGTCCTTATCATTACTTAAAAAGAAGAAACATAGTAAAATAAAAAATGAAGTGTGCAGTGCTGCTGTTGCTTGGAAACAGATTGAACCACATTTTTGAATACATTTTTTTTGGTTAGCTTGGAGGCAATCAGAAAAGGTGAGCGAATTTCTGACCTCGAAGACATTTGTAATTATAAGAGCATTTGATCAGAAATGCAGTATTTGCATGCATATTGAGAAAGCCCAGTAAGTACATTGTGTACCATGAAAAGAACATGACATTGGATTATGCTTGCTGTCAATTTAACTGTGAGCATTTGAGCACCACATTTTATTTATTGTGCTTTATAAGCCTTTCAGGCAAATGAACTGCATTCAGTTGGCTAGTTAGGGTTATTGTCTGTGCTTTTCTAGCTATTTCTCAAGTTAATAGGTTGTACTCTTCATGTAAGATAAAAGTATTTGACACTTTTTTTTTAACTCTTGTTCAACAGCAAAACATCTTCGGTTTTCACTCTTTATTTGTGCAACAATGTGACAAAATCTACCACAAACATGGTAATCTTTCATATTGATTGTTTTCCACAACAGAAAGGCCCCATCAGCCTAAAAGTCCATAGGTCATGCCCCTTAAATAGTAACACATGCTCTTGAAAATTCATAATAAAATTATTCTTTACATTGCATCATTATGAAAAATATATTATTAATGTACAAAATCTTGCATATTACACATGATACAATGAACAGTCTTGTATGAGCCAAAAGACACATGACATACTACAAAACACTGCAACAATTCAACATAGAGTCAATTAAGATAAAAGTACTGTACAGTATAAAGACGGGATCCCTTTTGATGACTTTTTAATCTTTAAGAGTTTGTGTACTCTGGAATGGACATCTCATCTGTCTCTTGTATTCTGGCTGGTGTCTGTGGACCAACGAGAATATAGTCAAATTCTTGGTGTTGGACTTTTTCGTACACACTTTGCAGCGCGTTGGTTTTGGGTAGGAGAGCTGGGTAGTAGTTTTCCCTTCCGGTGTTCCTTGGAAGTGAAGCAGTCTTGCTGAAAGTTGACAGATGCGGTCCGCATGCCATGCTCGTGTTGGGCCTTGTAGCTGAAGGGCTCCAGCACCGGTCCGAGTGTCCCAACACTTTGCACTCGCTTGTACATGCCCAGAGACCTGTGGAAAACAGCAGGGCTGTCAGGTGTTATACGAATACATTTTCTGGTTCAGCTGCTGGAGGGCGTTTGGTGTTGAAAGACCCCAGTGAGCCCAGGTAAAATCAATCAATATGTCCAGTGTATTAGAAAATACATTGCTGTACCTTAGAGCAGTGGTTCCCAACCTGGGGATAGCAGGGCCTCAGATGATTTGAGGCCAAATATCATATTTAGACTTTTATTTATTTATTTTACTTTTTTTTTTACATATAATTGTAAGGCAATACATGATTGTCACTAAAATCCTTGTCTCTACATTACAATAACATGTAAAAAATAATTGACTAATTAATTTTAATAAAAATTCAAGTTAGTATTAAAGGCATAAAAAGACAGAAATGTATAATTCTTTCTTTAATATAAATGTTTCTTCTGACCGTAAAGTGTCCAAACCAGGCTTGTCTGGATAAGCGCATTTTTAAAACATAGTCATTGTCCATGCCGGTTTCAGTTGGATTATTTGTCACAGTTGCTCCGATCAGATCGGTCTCCTCCATTTTGTAGATTATTTACGACTTTTGAATCCACATAAACACATCGGCAAAATCCGGCTTACTTTGAGCATGTGTTTTAAACAGTTTAATCCCTTTGTGAATTGTTTCCACTTGCGCCATCCTTTAATTTCTTGATACAGTGGGAATCCAAATAAATTAATCTTGAGTCCAATAACCATCACTCCAATAGTGCTACGCTTTCATCCTCCTTTAACAAAATACTTCACATTCATCCAGTTTGTGACAGTAGTTGTAGCATTTTTGAGACTTTTAAACTTTAATTACCGCTGTTGCGCGCCCCCCCCCCCCCCTTGTGTGTGTGGGGGGGGGGGCGCAACTTCCAACAGGAGTCATTTGGGGGGGCTCTTGGGAAAAAAGGTTGGGAACCACTGCCTTAGAGGGTACCATCTGGCTTAGATTAAAATATGAACCACACTATCAGAAGCAAAAAAGCACACCACTGCATGGATTTCACCTTTACATGTTTTTTTTTTTTGACTAATTGATCTGAATCTGCACTGTAATATTATATTTTATTATTCCTTTGTTCCACTCACTGTTTGTTGGTGGCGACTCTTTTTTGTGCACATCTCCACTTATGTCAGAATCACTGTCATTGAAGTCACTGTCACCTTTTCCACTGTCCTTGCCACTGATGTGGGGATCTCTTGCTGAGATTGTTGTGAATGAATTACCCTTCCATATAGTTATCGGTCTGACTGTCTCTTTCCCATAGCCCGGTAGCGTAGAATAACCCTGTGAAGACACAAGCAAATCGACACACATTTTGAGTCAAGGTTCAAAAGATGACAAAGTTAGTTTGAGAGGAACTTTAAATATCTCTGAAAAATAATGACTGACCTTTAATTTACCCTCCATCACCCTGCTGTTTGACTCAAAGATGCCTGCTGCTGGCCTGCCATCCTCACAGCCTGTCTCTGTTGTGTTACTGCTGGCCAATGGAGGGTTCTCTGGAAATGGATGGGCATCAAACACTTTTCCATTGTGGTTGGCAATCAATGAATCAACATGACCACTTTCCACATTCTCCACATTTGGTATGTCTTCTTTATCATCATCCCTTGTCTCCTTTTTCCGGCGGCTGCAAATGGTTGTGATGAGAATGATAGCCAGCAGGAGGAGAGAGCAGCTCCCTGCCAGGACAATGATTATGGCTATGGACATGTCCCATTCAAAAAGCTCCGCATTGCCATTTTGAGCCATGGAAGGCATACTGGGTACGGTTCCTTCTATAAAGCTGAAGTGTATAATGGCTGTGGAGGAGAGTGCCGGGGATCCATTGTCACTGACCGCCACTGTGACTTTGACATTGTCTGTGAGATCATACGTCAGCTGTCTGCTCACGTGCACTTTCCCTGTGTCTTTGTTGACAGAGAATCCCAGGTGACCCCCGTCTGTAATTTTATAGGACAGCTGTGCATTAATACCCTCATCAGCATCCGTGGCCTTTATCTGAGTTACAACATATCCTGCAGGTGCATCTTTGGGCAGGAAAATCCCAGCAGATCCTTTGTAAAGGGGGGGCTCTATGATAGATGGTTGGTTGTCATTCTGATCAACTATTATTAGTCGGATGACAGCTGTGCTCTGTAGCTGTGGTGACCCCCCATCACTTGCTTTGATATGTATGTCTAGCAGTTTCATCACCTCATAATTAAAACTCCTCAGTGCATATATGGAGCCAGACACTGAATTAAGAGACACAAAGGTATTCACTGGGGACCCCATGATAACACTGTCCACAAGTCTGTAAGTAATTTTCCCATTATTGTCCAGATCCGCGTCGCTGGCCTGCACTGTGGTGATATAAGCGCCCGGGGCGTTGTTTTCCACCACTGAAACTTCATAGACAGCTTTAGTAAAGTGAGGGGCGTTGTCATTCTCGTCTGTGAGCCTAATGGTGTACTGAGTGATCTTTCTCAGCGCGGGTGACCCAAAATCCTCAGCCATGACCGTCAAGTTATACTCACTGATCCTCTCCCTGTCTAGGGCTGCTGCCGTAACTATCATGTAGCTGTCCTCGTAAGCCTGTCGGAGTTTGAAATGGTCGTGGCCGTATAACGTGCAGTGGACCTGGCTGTTAACACCCGAGTCTCTATCCAGGGTGCTGATCAGCGCCACCAGACTGTCCTTCTCTGCAGACTCACTGATGTATGCAATGCCAGTCGAGATGGAGGTCATTGGGGTGATACTGATTTCTGGGGCATTGTCATTAACGTCTGTGACGTGAATTATGATTTTACACACGGAGGGGGTCGGGTTTGGTCCCAGATCAGTCGCCTGCACGTCTAGCTCATATGTGCTTTTGTCCTCAAAATCCACAGGGCTCCGGAGCGTCAGCCGACCTGATTTATTATCCACTTGAAAAAGTTCTCGTATTTTATGAGAAACCTGTTTCCCGAACCCGTAGCCGACCTCTCCGTTTAAACCCTCATCTGCATCAACTGCGTTCAAGTCCAGTATAACAGCGCCAACCGGTGCGTCCTCTGGCAAACTGACTGAAAAACTATTCTGGTCAAAAACGGGACTATTATCATTAAAGTCAGTGACTTTGATAGTTATCTTTGTTGACCCCGATCTGTAAGGGTTTCCACCGTCTGTGGCGACCAGCTCCACAGTGTATGATGACTGAGTCTCCCTGTCTAGCTCTTTCATTAGCACCAATTCCGCATATTTAACCCCATCCGC